GCCGTTTCCACTTTAGATGCTTGTTAGTTTTATGGTCCAATTAGTTATGTATATGCATTAATCTATATGATGTAATTGTTGCTTCATTATGTTGAATTAATTATCATGAAGTTGAGCCAGCTGCATTAGGGCCTTTGGTTACTGTTCCTTTAACATGTGTATTTCACAGATTACATTGCGCCATTAACCCTGGTTTTCTTTCCTTCATACTTCATCACATGCGATTCAAGTTCATGGTTCTCCTATTTTATTGTTAGTGGTTTCTCTGTATCTTCAGTGTTTTATTCAAAGAGATTAACTTTTGGCTCCTTTTCGAAGATTAAATACCACAAGATTTTGTAACATGTTTGAAGGAAGTCATAGCCCTTTTTTTTTTTCTGTCTCTTCCATTGCTGCTCGTGGTAGAGAATTTGCTTTTTGGCTTTGTGAGAATATCAAATTGCAATTACTCTAATCATAGTCTTGACTAATGAATTATGGTATTTATATTAAGTTAAATTGGGCGACTTACTTTGTGTGCTGATTTAATTTGTAATGCATTGGATAACACAGTTATTATTTTATATAGGGAATGTGTACATTGGCTCTATCAGCATCAATTCCTGCACTGAAACCTGCTGAATGTGTGGGTTCTATATGTCCCTCAGCTACTCCAGCTCAGTATGCCGTATTTTTCTTTGGGCTTTATCTGATTGCATTAGGGGCTGGTGGAATCAAACCGTGTGTCTCATCCTTTGGGGCAGATCAGTTTGATGATACTGATCCCAAAGAAAGTGTGGAGAAGGGGTCCTTTTTCAACTGGTTCTATTTTTCTATCAACATTGGCGCTCTGATGTCAACCACTCTTGTGGTGTGGATACAGGACAATGCTGGATGGGGTCTAGGGTTTGGCATTCCAGCATTGTTTATGGGCCTTGCTATTGCAAGTTTTTTCTCAGGCACACCTCTCTATAGATTTCAAAAACCTGGAGGAAGCCCTATTACTAGAATGTGCCAGGTTTTGGTTGCGTCATTTCATAAATGGAATCTGAAGGTACCTGAAGACAGGAGTCTCCTATATGAAACAGGTGACAAGCACTCAGCCATTGAAGGGAGTCGGAAACTGGACCACAGTGATGAGTTGAAGTAAATTTCTTCTACATTTTGTGAATTTTTTGAATCATTTATTCTAATTTTATATTACTTATGTTTCACATAAGAAACAAATTCTCTTTATATATTTTTTTGTTTGAGGTCCAATGAAATTGAGATTGATTTATTCTCTAACTGTTCAGACAACATTAATATATACGAGAAATCTTTAATGGATGATAAGGAATCACTGATTGATTATCTCCGCCGAAATATCCTAATGTCAATTTGACCACTCTACCAAACACCTTGTAATCTTCAATTTCCATGGGAGTTTATGTCCTTTTTTTTTTTATTTCTAGTTCCTTCTCTATATTCCCCTTTCTCTTCAACCATTTCCTGCTGCATGATAGTGGAAACATATGCTACCAAGAAGCTTTCTCTTATATGTTAAATCCTACATGCTCAGCTTATGTTTTACATACTGTGATAATTGACAACTTGGGTTGTTAAGGAACAAACTTACTATATGAAATCATGACACAGAAAGATGGTTTTACCCATGCATATTTATCTACAGGAGGAGGAGAACTATTGGAATTCTGATTGATAATTTTTGGCTGGGATGCTACTTGATGCATTGATTTCTTTTTTCTTAATTCTGTTTCTCTTTTCTTGTATTCCCACATTTTAAAGAAATCCATTGTAGTTGTCGTCGTCTTTTCTTTTTAGGCCGGTTCTGACTATCTTCTAGAAGTTGTTCTTGACTTGCTGATGCACATATTGGAGTAAGTTTTATCTGAAATTATCACTAATTTAAGCAATTTTCATCCATGGACATGTTGGTTACTTATTTATTATTCATTGAAGTTTCAAATAGTGTATCATGAAATCCCTGTTTCTTTTTTTTTAGACAAGTGTCTTGAAGTCCTAACACCTATAACATTGCTAGTTTTGCTAAGTCCATCTTGTTGCAGGTGCCTAGATAAAGCTGCCACACTCACTGATGCTGAGATCAAAAGTGGGGACTTCTCAAATCCATGGAAGCTTTGCACTGTAACACAAGTTGAGGAATTGAAAATCTTGATCCGTATGTTTCCCATATGGGCTACTGGAATTGTCTTCTCTGCTGCATATGCCCAAATGTCAACTATGTTTGTAGAACAAGGGATGATGATGGACACATCAATTGGTTCTTTCACTATTCCTCCTGCTTCTCTCTCAACTTTTGATGTTATCAGTGTTATTTTCTGGGTTCCCATCTATGATAGGGTCATTGTCCCAATTGCAAGGAAAGGGGCTTCTCAGGGTTGCAGCGTATGGGAATTGGTCTCTTTATTTCTGTCCTATGCATGTCAGCTGCTTCTGTGGTGGAGATCTGGAGATTGCAGCTTGCAGAAGAGCTAGGGCTGGTTGATAAAGAGGTTGCCGTACCACTTTGTATATTTTGGCAAATACCTCAATATTTCTTGTTGGGTGCTGCAGAGGTCTGCACATTTATCGGACAGCTTGAGTTCTTCTACGATCAATCTCCTGATGCCATGCGGAGCTTATGGACTGCATTTTCACTTCTAACTATATCGTTGGGGAATTACCTGAGTTCTTTTATTCTGACTCTTGTAACTTACTTCACAACAAAAGATGGTCAGACTGGTTGGATACCAGACAACCTGAATGAGGGTCATCTCGACTATTTCTTCTGGCTCGTGGCTGGTCTTAGCTTCTTAAATATGTTGGTCTACGCTGTCTGCGCTATGAAGTACAAGCAGAAGAAGTCTTCTTAAGGTTCCTCTTCTCTTATGGGGAGAAATTCAGCTGAAATTGTGGGTAAAAAGTGCATGCATTTCAATCTAAGGACATCCTTCCACATTCAAAAGCAACTATTTGTATCTTTGGATTAAATGAATTGCTTCTGAAAGCATTAATCTTGCTTTCTATACTGGGCAGATTCTCACATATTGTACATAAAATATAGATGTAGTACAACTATTATTGTTTGATTGAAGTTGTTGGCATTCATGCATGTTACTGGACAGTTTCAAGCGTCGTTTGTTCAATGAATTAAGGTTTCATAGCTCTGTTTTTAAACAGCTTGTCCAATACCGCTCTGTTTTCAGGATTAGCATACATAAGATTGATAATCGTTGCTGATACTATTAAATATTTTTCATATAGAACAATGCAAATGTGACGGTTTAAATTGTTCGATATCGCGGCATCTGCTATCGGTAGATAAAACTCAGTGTACTGCAAGCGGAAGTATGTCCCCCATCAATAACAAGATTACCAGCTGTTATGAATCCAGCACCATCAGATGCCAGGAACACTGCAGCTTGCGCCACATCTTCACCAACAAGTCCACTCACTTGTTCAGAAGTTGTTTCATTCCCCTGGAAAATTCTGTAACCATTGACGAGCATATCTGTAGGGACACCATGAGAAGATGCAATTCACACGAATTCCATGCTCGCCTCACTCACCGCCGCAGTTCGCATCAATCCAATGATAGCAGCTTTTGACATAGAGTAGGGGTGAGATGCCAAACATCCCATGACGCCTGCAGAGCTCGACGTGCATATGATGGAACCTTTTGTTTTGCATCTCAGCATGGCTCGTGCTGCATGCTTGACTCCGTGTACGTTGCCAAGCAGATTGATTGGGATCAGATGTTTCTCGGAATTGATCCAATTGCTACATCGCAATGGTAGATTGATTGCCAAGCATAAATCTATAAGTATTATAATATCTAAAATCAAATTGAACGCAATAAATAACATTATATGTTTAATATATTTATTTTATTATTGTTATCCCTAAGTTAATTGGTCAAACGGTTAATTTAGTCATGATTTGATCCATACAATCATACATTTGAGTCATTTAAATAAAACGTACTTAAATAATTACGTCATCTGTTCTCAAAGAAATGATTTATCCATCACCAAAGAAAATATTCATCTAAAGTCTCACTGATAATCTATCAAGATAATCATTTTAAAATTGATCACTTGATATTTAATTTATTTAAAATCATTATATGTAGTACATATCTATCTAAAATCATTAAATGTTATTCACATTTATACATATAAATTTATCTCGAACTCTATATAAACATCTCATCAATTATCAATTATCTCAATCAAATCATCAACTCTTAATTTCGTACATAAAATTATTGACAAATCAGATATGTAAGAGAGAAGCTCACTACAGACTTTGAGTTTTCCTTCCGTTAAAAGCTTCATTCATACATTTCATCATTTGCATCGGCATCTCTCTCCTTCTTTCCTTACTTCAAGTGTAAGACTGGTTTGAGCGTTGGATTGTGCCTCGAAGTAATAACTCCTATGCCCCTGGCAAAATTCTCTGGCTTCCGGCTCTAATTTTTTCCCTCTAATCTCACCTCCTTCCAGCTAAGACAACTCACCTTCTTCTAGGTAAGACAACTCAAAAACACCATAGACAATTATACATATATTTATATATTAGTATATTTATAATTATAATTTTTTATTTAATATTAGATATTTAAATTTTTTAATTATTAATAGATTTGTTATATTTTTAAAAAATAATAAAATTATTATAAAATATTATTTTATATAAATATTTAAAAATATTGATTTTTTAAATCTAAAATAATTTTTAAATAAGATTTTTAACACTAAAAAACTTAATTATTTTATAAAATTAAAAATTTTGAGACAAATTATATATTTTTCAAACTGATAAACTTATATAAAATTATACGCAAAATGCAATAACACGACCGAAATTTACCTCAACAATTAATATCACATGCAACAGACTTGCATGAAGATTAATCTAAACAATAAATGGTTAATTTTATCGAAACGGTAAATGGCAAGGAAAAAAGTTACCGCTTGTAATATTACTGCTGTACTTCATACCTTACCTAAACAGAACAAACGCATCGCAATTGTGGAAGATCCAAAGTCATTAGACCAAGCTTGGAGGGTCCGAGAAAAGGGAAAAAAAAAGCCCAGGCATTTCATAACCCAAGTATTTGTTCCAAACAAAACATAGCAAACAGAGAAAAATGGAAGTGGGGGGTTCGTCGAAGAAGATGATTGCAACCCAGGCAGAGATGGTGGAGAACAAGGTCCCCATCCCATACAGAGACCAATGCGCCCACCTTCTCATCCCACTCAACAAGTGTCGCCAAGCTGAGTTTTACTTACCTTGGAAATGCGAGATCGAACGCCATACCTATGAGAAGTGCGAGTACGAGCTCGTCATGGAGCGAATGCTGCAGATGCAGAAAATCCGTGAAGAAGAGGACAAGTTGAAACAGGCTGGGAAACAAAGCGGCTCTATTCCTCTCGTTCCCAAAACTGCTAATGCTTAAGCTCTACTTCCACGGTCAGTCAAATTTTCATTTCTTCTTTTTTTCCCCCTTGGGGGCTTTCGGATGATTCTGTTAAATGGGTTTTTGTTGATTGATGTTTTCCCGCATAATTTGTTCATGGGTTCTTTGATTTTAGATTAAGGGTTTTAAAGTTCCAAAATTTGGGGGTTTTTAGTTAGGTTAAATTTTGTCTTGTCGCGTTTTTCAATTGACCACCGGTTTATTGTATGATCGAGGATTTTTTTTTTCTTTTTATTGTTTATTAACTTTTTTAGGACTTTGTTTTAATCAAGTTTTTGCTGTCAAATTTTCAATAAAAATTCCCTGTTTGGTCTTAGTATTGAATTGAAGCGTTTAAATGTTTTCTTTTTCTTGTTGAACGTGAAATTAATGAATTTCTAGACAATCTGGCACTCCATTATGAATACTTCGAAGGGTTTTACTGGTTTCCTTCTAATAAGGGACTCCTTTTTCTTTGGGTCTATTAATGTCAGAGTGTGGTGGTTATCGGGTTTTTTTTTTTTTTTTGGTTCATGTGGTATTTGATTGGATTTTTGCATTGGGGTCCATTAGTCCATAAAATTATGTTTGATTTGGCATTTCATTTTGAAGATTTTGGAAATTGTATTAGGTTGTTCTTGCCTAAGGCTTAGAATATCGGATTCTTGTAGGGAGATTGAGAACAACACACATTCTGGACTTCATGTTGATGTACAACCTCAAAAAAATGGTTTTGATTAAGACTATGAATAGTCATGTGATGGCTAATGTTTTGCAATGTTTTTTGAATCTTGATTAATGAGATTGCATATTATGTTTGGCAAGCAGTTGGATGTATACGTGGTGCTTTTTCCAGTTACCTTCGTATTTTTTGGGGGGTATCTTGACCAGTGAAGTTAGTTATGCATGCAAAAATAGTTGGCTTTTATAATTAGGCTCTTTGCTTTTATTTCAATGAAATAGTAGGTTTAGCCAATGAAAATACATTCATTATGGTCAGTATAAGATAGTGTAATTACAGTGTAAAGCAGAAATTGAAGTTTAACTGGAAAGCACTGAGGTTATACATGCAGATCTGGAAAAGTTGATGCCCCCCAGTGCATTGTGCTGACCTGAATGTCTAAGCTGATGGCAATGTTTGGTCAACATTTGAAAGTGCTTTAATTTATAAGTTTAGAGGATGGGACCATTTCTTGTCAAGAATCTTTATAGAAAATAATTTGTTACTAAAACAAACTTAATAGAAGGAACAAATATTAAGAATCATTTTTCTAAAAGATTTATCCAAAAAAAAAAAGAACTATAGTTGTTTCATATAGAAGATTAAAGAGATGAAGAATGCACTGCAATTGTTTTAGATGCCGTCTTGATGAAATTTGTTGCTTCAATCTTGTGGCTATTTAGTTGCCAAGAATGCATTCCACTGATATTATTTTCACTTTTGGATTAGTGTCTTTTTTTTTTTTTTTTATAGTTCTGATATTACACTTTGCTTTCATGGTTTTCTATTTCACTCTCCATGGTTTAAAAATGTGGCAGGAAGGTTTAAACTGCTTTGGTGGATGCTGGATGTTTGTCACTGTTATCCGAGGGAAATTGGAGACTGTTTGTCAACCTTGTATGTGGAATAAAGTTGCTCAGCAAAGTTGACATGATTTTTTACTGTTAATTTGAAGGACAATGTTTGATTTTCGAATTTCCAAAGAGGCAATCCTGAAACAAAATGCAAAATGTGAAAGTTTCTGATTTCTTCATATCCGAGTAATGTTTGACAAGTGCAAATAATTTCACACAAATATGATGTATTATTCAATGGTTGTTAACTTTTTGGTCTGATTTTTCATCTTGTTTCTTTGCTCAAAAGTGGGTGAAGATTTGTTTAAAGTCACTTCTCAATGACGACAAATAGTGGATGATCAAGATTATTTATCACACCCAACATCTTCATCTTTGAATATAAGAAACAGAAAAAGCAATCTCTTTCTAGACAATGCCGAAGGGGAAAAAGCGGACGGCAAACTAGCTAAAAAGTGAGACAAAGACAACATTGTACTGAAGGGAATGTAAGAATATAAACGGCAAGGTTGGTTTGGGTTGGGTTGGGTTGGGTTGGGTGAGGGAGAAGTCAAATTCCGTGGATATATAATATATATTAAATAAAAATAATAACATTTTTATGATTTTAGAAGTGTGGGACACGTGTAGTGGAGAATTTTATATATAATAGATAAATAATTTGTATTATTGGTCAGAAGTTTTTGCGGGGATTTGAATTTTATGTATATCTGACGTGGTATATAGTTGAGCTTATTGTTTTGTCATTTGAATAAAAATATTAATTTTAATTAAATTTATTCAACATAAAATTTTTTTCAATCATAATAGCAATAATATTTTTTAATTATAATTATAATAATTTTTATTATATTTTTTAATTTTATCGTTCATTTAAATAGATTTTTAGTTGTAGTGAAATATCATGGAAGCTTCAAAAGCGTAAAACATAACTCAATACTTTTGATTTTTGTGGATTTTTCAGAATCAAACTTACAATTTCTCACGTTTTTTATTTTTTATTTTTGGTTTTAACGGCTGGTTACGTGCATGAATAATGGTTAGAAAAACAAACACCAAACAATCTTTTCTTGTACAAGCTGGATAGAAAGTCTAAAGAAATGGATCCTATTTTCTTCAGTCATCATAATAATATTCCCTACATGACCATTCGGGAATGTATAAATACTGAATTATGTATTCTTTTAAATTCTACAAATAAAATTACTAAGATGACATTTTTTTATAATTATTTTTTTAAATTAGCTTTTTGTGAAAGAGAAAAGCCAATAAAAAACTTAGATAAACTAATATATTTATTTGTTCCAATTATAAATCTAAAAGACCAAAAAAATTGACCAAACTTTAATCACCCCCGCATGATTTGCATGACCAAAAAGGTAGAAAAAGATAAACACAATTATTCAAAGTTGTACCTAATTCAAAATCCTTGGAAGTAGAAAAAGTCAAGATGATAGGAACGCTTATTCTTCAATCATTGTCCATTCCCTATAATTAATTAAAATCACAATAAACATATGCAATAATATTCTAATATTTTCCCAACACTGCAACTCTTCTCCGTGTTTCCATGCACATAAAGACAACCAAATTGTAAGTGACTCATCTTTTTGACAAAAATGGGTTAGCAAAGTGAATGTCAATCCTTACTAGGCGTAGCTGGTCATATTATATTACAAAAGCTCACGTGGGTCGGATGTCCGAGCCCCCCAAAAAAAAAAAAATTTTAAAAAAAAAAAATTATTCAATATATTGATAATAAAAATTTTTAATTATATAAACAGAATTAAAACAATGATACATATTTTTTAATATATATTTTAAAAAAAAATAATTCATAAAAAATAAAATATGTGTCGCTATTTTAACTTTATTTATAAAATTAAAAAATTTTATTATGAGTTTATTAAATAATTTTTCAAAAACAAAATTGAGAAAAAGGTTGATGAAGAAATCCATTTCTCATAACTTGCTTAAATGGCGATTAACTTTCCATTTTGATTTTATCACATTTTCGATGTAACGTGATTAAATTTTATTATATTATTAGTTAAATTTAAATATCAATTTTAATAAAATTAGGTCAATATAAAATTTTTATTAAAATTTTTTTAATCATAATTATAATAATTTTTTAAATTATAAGTATAATAACTTTTATTATTATTTTTAATTTTATTACAATCAATTTAATTATTCATTTTTTTTATTTTTCATTAAATTTGAAGATAAATAAATTATTTAATCTCTCAAATTAAGATAAAATATGTCATACCTGATAATTTAAAATAAATTATTGTAAGTCATACATTCGAGATGATTCTAACAAATAATTATCAATAAGATTTAAATTTAATTTCTTATCATAAAAAAAAACGATCTTAATAAATTGAATCATTCCTTTATTGTTATTATTCATCCAATTGAAATTAAGACTGCGACGTCAGCAAAATAGTTACGTATACTTAGAGAAATTAAACACGTTGCTTCCTTTAGCTCGGTGATTTGACTAGACTCTCATAATTTTCAAAAAAAAGAAAAGAAAAGCAAAAAATAATACGAAAAAGAAATGAGGTCTTTGACACAAAGAGGCTTTACAGATTAAAATTCTGACTATTATGCTTAAGTTTTATTAAGTGCAAGCTTAATTTAATTTTATATTAAATTTATTTAATTATATTTTATTTATTTATTAATATATATGATAATTAATTATTATATATATAAATATAATGCTTAATTATAATTGCAACACAGCCAACATTAACCGGGCTTTGAAGCCTCAACCCGTCAAGCTCCATTTTTAGGGGTGAGTAAATTATCAGTTCGGTTTGAAAAAATCAATAATCGATTGTTATTCAATAAATAATCGAATTGATCGAATATTATTAAATAATCGATCATAATCGAATCGATCAAAATCTGTTTGATTCGATCGATTCGATTAAATAACCAATTTTTTTTATCATTTTTCTTTTTTTTTATTATTAATAATTATTTAACCACAAATTTAATTTAATAAAATTTAAACTCTAATATCATTCAAACTAAATTACTAAAAAATTTAATAATTTCAATAATATTTTACAAAAATTAAATAAATAAAAATATTTATCTCAAATTTTTTTATTTTTAATTATTAGAAAATCGGTTAATTCGGTTAGTGCGATTATCAATTTTAAAAATCAAAAATTGATCGAATTAACTAATTTAATCGATTTAAAAAATTGATTATAACTAAAATCGAATAAACCAAATCGATTCAACTGAATTTATTCAATTTTAATTAATCTAATCAATTTAAACCGACTTTTATTCATCCCTATCCATCTCTTCATTTCTTGCCATTCTTTTTTTACCCATCTCTTCATTTCTTGCCATTCTTTTTTTTTTTTCAACTTTCAACGTTCAGAATTTCAGATTGACAATATATTGTGGATGGCGTTTTTTTGGATTTTAAATGAATTTATATTTATGATTTATTCATTTATTTGTAAAAATAATTAAATTTGATTGGTGATTGGTAAAAAAATTATTTTATTTATTCAAGTTCAATTTGTTCGAATGATAAAATATTTGAGTTAGGTTCATATTAAATTTAATTAAATTAAAATAATTTATTTATAAATGTTAAATAAATATGTTCATGAATATATATAAATGAATATATCAATAAATAATAATTAAATTATAATTAAATAAATTTAAATAGAAAACTTTAAACAAACCTTAAAATAAAATTAAAATAAATGATAAAAATATAATTTATTATTATTATTATAAATAAATAAGAAATAAATAATAAATATATAATAAATGAATGAATAATAAATAAATTATAAATGAATTTATTTATAAACATAAATAAATCAAATAAATTTTAATTTGTATCTTATTTATTTAATAAAAAATAAAAATATAATTTAAAATTATTTATTAAATTTAATAAATAAATATAAACAAATAAAAATTAACTATATTCGCAAGCTATTCGTAAAAATTACATAAATAAATATTCAATCAAAACTAATAGATAGTTGATTCAATCGATTATGTTCATTTTTTTTACGAAGAGATCTTGGATTTGAGTCTTACCGATTATCACTTGTTATAGTCATCTTGAATGTATGACTTACAATTATTTGTCTTAAACTATCATTTACGACACATTTTATCTTGATCTAAGAGATTGAATAATTTATCTATCATTAAATTTTTTCTTACAAAAAAAAAATTCAATCAAAATCAAATCATCAAATTAAAATAGAGTTTAAAGATAAGCTTTGGTTGAATTGAATTTGGGTTCAATGTCCATTAATGTTAAGCGTTTTAGTTTAATAATTTACTCTTTTTTATTGGTCAATTAAAATTTAAGAAAAATTTTTTTATTTTATCTTTAAAATCATAGTAAATTGTCAATTTATAAAAAAAATTTATAAATTTTTTAAAATTTTTTAAATTTACAAATAATCTATCAATAATTGTAAAAATTCAAACTTAAATATTTTATATTCAAACCTTAAATTTGAACCATAATATCTATTGGCTATATTCATTTTTAGTTGACCATTAGGAGTTTTTGCATTTTAATTTTAATTAAAAATGGTAGTTGTTGTAATAAAATGCGGTGTTTGTCCAATAGACGGCACCGGCTCTCTGCAAACAAAACTAATGACAACGTCGTGATTGGTTGTCTCGACTCAGTCTTCACAATCCAAATTCCATGTTCCCAAATTTCTATGTACAGAAACTTATTTATCCGCTGGTCCCAGTCCCTCTTTTCTCATTATTTCACTGACACCGTTGACTTTTCCTCCAGATCCGTTTCCTTCGTTATGCCATTGGAAAAATTGACGGTGTAGATCTTCCTATCAAAATTATGGCAATTTTTTTAAAAATTATATTCATAATTAAATATTATATTCATTCATAATTAATTATTATATTATTAAATAATCAATTAATAAATTAAAACTTAATTAAACAATCAAATTTACATCTAATAAAACTTGAAACTAAAAAAAAATATGAAATCAATTTTTATTTTTCAAATTTGGTGGTCCAATTGCTTAAGTAAATTATAAATGTTGCAAATTTTTCATACAAAATCTATATACAAAAATTAAATACTCCCATTATCTTCATGTGGCGTATAGAAAAATAAAAAATTGGTACATTTGACTAATCACCCTAAAAAAATCATAGATCACTCATTCAACTTTGCATCTACCCCAGAATTAATCCAAGTTTGAGTATGTACAATAATTTAATTTTGTGACTTGTCAATAAGGTTTTGGTATTTTGCATATCATTGTGAAGGTGAGTTAAAAAATATCAAAACGGCACGTGTTATCACACTATATTTGTAATTGATTGAGTTAATAAAAATAAAATATTTTATTTATAAAATTTATATTTAATTTATATTATTATTAATTTTTTATGAACGATTTATAAATATAATATAAATTAAACTTATAATATGTTATAATATTAAAATGAGATAATTTTTTTATTTAAATTTTTATAAATTAAAATGTCTCGTCAATCAGAAAAATAAAAACCTTTCAAGTTTTATTATTCATAATTCAATGACTTGACTTCAACTAAACCCTAATTAAGAGCACCTCATGTAACCTTAAACGAGGGTAAAACCATCATTTAAAAACATGTGTAGTAGAAAAATGGAATTCTCTCATTCCCATTTTATTTATGCATACATTTTTTTGAGATGTTTTAAAGTTATGTCATAAATTTTTTTTAACATCTAAAATTTTTACTTTTTTATATTTTAAAATTATTTTTATGAATTTTTTACTTTTTAACATTAAAATTCTGAAATTTAAATTTTATAAAAAATTTGATTTTAATATTAAAAACATTAAAATTAAATTTTTTTTTAAGCTTCATAAAAATAATATAAAACAAACAAATTGGATCGGAGGGTACTAACATTCTTTTATGGCAGCATCGTCAAATGGGTGTCCTAAACCGTGACCCTTTCCCTTGTTGTGGAAAAATAATGAAGAAAGTTAGGAATATTTTGATGGGGCCTTTTTGTGATCATACGACGTTGGCAGTATTACAATCTGAGAATTTGTAGAAAATAAAATAATATAAATATTAGTATATTTGTATGGACATGTATCTGACAGCTCTGTATATATTCAGAGAGATGGGGAAGCAAAGGTCAAAGTAAGGCTGTTGGGTAGAGGCAATGATTTAAAAGGAAGGCAGATCAGAAACTCGTGATGGGATTTTCATTTTGGTTTTGAATTTTTTTTTTTTTTTGAAAGTGTGCAGAGATTATAGAGTATAGAAACAGAACAAAGCCAGCAGTAGGCAGGTATTATCAGTGCTCCTTCAGGAATTTACAGCTTCGTCTGTTCCTTTTCTCGTGATCTGTCTCTTTCCTTTGGTTGTTTCGTTTATTTTTCCTTCTTTTGCTTTTCTTCAAAGGGCTTCTGCACTTTGTGCCTATGTTGCTGCTTTGTACCTAGACAATTCCAACAAGATTGAATGAACCATGACTTAAAATATAGCACAAAAACCTGAAAGTGATCGTACTAAAGGGTTTCTTTGCGGAGAATCTTCTTGGTGAAAGTTTTGAAAGGATATACCTTTGGGCAAAAAGGAGTGATTTTGGGGTACCCATTTGAGCTGTTTTTGTTTTAAATTATCAGAAGGTTTTAAAGAAAAGAAAAGAAAGAATTTTTGAGGAGATTGAAAAATGAAGAAAATGGGTAGTTGTGGGAGGAGTGGTAAAGTGAGGCAGTATAGAAGATCAAAGGTGCCTCGTTTAAGATGGACACCTGAACTTCATCACTGTTTTGTTCATGCCATCGAAAAGCTTGGTGGTCAAGCCAGTAAGTTCCTTTTTTCTTTTTGTTTCCTTTCTCTTCGTCTTGTTTCTTTTGGTCTTTGAGTTATCATAGTGCTAATGGTTTCTTCTGTTGACATCGACGTTTCTGCCAGAAGCTACGCCAAAACTTGTTCTTCAACTCATGGGTGTGAAAGGGCTCACCATTTCACATTTGAAAAGCCACCTTCAGGTTGAAATTTTTATATATTATCATTCGTTGTCCTTTGCTCGTTGTGTTCACATGGGTTTCCATTCCTTGTAACCAGATGTATCGGAGCATGAGAGGTGATCTCGGCAGACAAGGTATATATCTTACCTCTTTTTTACTCCTTTCCCATATGCACTATCACAAATATTTATAATTAACTCTCCTTTAAAAAGCATTTTTTTTTCTATGATTTTTTCTTCTAATGGTTGTCTTTTGGTAAAGAGTAGATGTATCACTTCATTTATTATCTCCTTTCTCTCTTATTTACTTGATACCAAAATAGATGAGAACATCCATTAGCTTGTTTACTTGCAAATCTTCTACTATTGGCATGTATGATGAAAACCCATAACCCCGTTAATTCCTTGACTGTAGCTGCTTCTCAATGTTTTCTGAATAAAATCAAACCATGAATAATGGCAACATCCCTTTACCTTTGTTTGTTTTCTGTGTTGGTGTGTTGGGTCTCTCAATGACAGATAGGAGTTCAACCCATCGAAGAAAACAATCTTTTGAGAGCCATGATGGATGTGTTGATGAAGTAAATGATATGGGTTTTCACTCAACTTCAAAGCCCATTGAAGAATCAGATTCTAATTTGATCCACAGTCCACTTCCTTCGAAAAGGTCAGCTTAGCTCTATCCCTGATCATGGGGTACAGACTTTTCAAATATAAAAAAGAAAAAAGTTGATTCATGAGGCCACGAAGTGTCATCCTCAACACCTGTAATGCTTTCTTTTATTCTCAAGTTAATAGTGTAGTGCAAGAAACATACAAACAAAAAATTGTATTGCATGATCTATTCTTTTCAGCTACTACTTTTTCTTTTCCCTCTAAAATTCTTTTTGTTTGATTTCTTTTTTCTTTTTTTTTTTAACCCCCCTTCCAGAGCTAGAATCGAGACCCGGAGTTCAATCTCTGATCAGAAACTGCAATGCAGCCAAGGGATTTATGAGACAGTCTCAAATCCGTACTCTTTTGATGATTTTCTGCGGATCATAGCTATGCATAAGGGAATAAAGGTGGGTAATGGTGCTTTCACATTGGAGCGCACCCAGTCTGATCATTCTCACGGTCAATCCATAACCTTCTCCCTTCCACATGATCTTTGCGACCTCAACTCTTTCAAATATGCAGCGGAAGAATCTGGTTTGCGTAAGGTACACTACAGAAACCCACATTTCCTTCTCTCTCTCCCCGATATATTTCTTTTGCCAGCTTTTCTTTGTGATCTTGAGTGTATCGTTGGTTTTGGTTCCGACTTTTTAAATTCCAACCAGTTCATGGAAGGTTGGGCTTGTTTTATATAGCTAGTTTCCACACACAATGTGGCTCTTATGACCAGTGGTAACGGTGAATATCCCTGCCTTCTAGGCCTACTTGCCTTCCAATAGGTCTGGTTACATAGTGTTTTCACTTCAACACCAGTTCATGACAAGCAAAACATCTAAAAATTTGTCATGAAGCTTTCTGATTGATAGAGTTCTTGGTTCTTACATTCTGTGGTCCACTATAATTCTAATGAACAAGGGACCCCCTTGTGGGGCAACCAGAATGGAAATTCAAAAGGAACCTTTATTGCATTGGACCAGACATTACTTCTTTAGAACTAACGGTCTTTAAAGATTAAAAGTGGTGGGCCTAGTCTTTATTGAATTTCATGGTTCTCTTCCTTCCATCTGAAGTAACATTTTTCCTGAATCAACTCAGATTTTTAATTATCTTATCCATTTTTTACAGCTTTTTACTAGTTTTTGCCTTCGTAGTAAATGTTTCCCCATTCTATGACTGGTTCATTTCCGTGAAATTTACCCAGGATTTTTTCAGTTCTGAAATATGGCCACACCGTGCATGGATTATGGCATTCAAGTCGACATGAAAAAAAAAATGCATTTAGTACTAATCAAGCCAGAATTTTCCACGTTTCAGGTTGCCATGGTTGAAGAAGAGCACAAACACGCAGTGGAGCAAACCGGTAAACATGTTGAACTCAATGTAAAGAGACTCTTAGGCGACGAAGACGAAGAAGAAGGCGGTGGCTGTGAATTATCATTGTCACTCTCATTGCATCATCCATCTTCCCAGAGAAGTAGGGCTTCTTCCACAAGTGAAATCAGCTGCAGCGAGGCATTCTCATCGTACTCCTTGTCTAATTATAAAGACTGCTTGGGCTCTTCCTGCACCCAATGTAGTCTAAACTTAGATCTATCTATTGCTCTTTGTGGCAACTAATGCTTTTTTTTTTTCTCTTTTGAGATAAACTAATTAGAACCAATGAGTCAAGCCGGGTTGTTCTTCGATACACTTTGATTATGTTCATAATTTTTTTACTATTATTTCTAAACTAGTAATTGAGTTTATCCTAGGAATTGCATCAATTTCCAGTCTATACATAAACTTCTATAATTCATAAAAGTATCAATTTCTTGTACTGTAAGATTCCAAGCTATAATTTTGAAGCCCTCCAAATATTGTGAGGGTTGTCAAATCATTGAATCTCTTCCTTTTGATGCCCAAGTTTCGCAGTTCTCGAGTTCGGTTGCCCCTTTGACACGGCTGGACTTTGGGTATCTTCCACAACTTAAAAACAGTTGAGCATAAAGTCAAAAATGTGTTAGATGCCTTTGTTTTGTCTTTCTCGGGTCGCAAATAAAAAATAGTTTCCTTCAGTTGCAATGAACTTTCCATGTTTTCCTGATAGATTATTTTAATTTCGAAATGAACTTTCCACGTAATCCTGATGGACTATTTTAATTTCCAAATTAGACTTGTTCACATGGCCAGCTAATCCAATGAAAATGAAAACGATGTCAACCATTGAATCTATGGCCGAATTCATATCAGATCAACAAAAATTTTGTACTTTAACCATTGCTGCTGTCTCAAACATCAAAAGGTTAAACACTTTTTTCTTTATGTGAAGAGAACAATGGCAGAACCAGTTTTGTTCAATATAGCTGATAGGATCCTGGGAAAGCTAGGCAACCTTGCGGTCCAGGAAATGGGATTGGCATGGGGTGTCAAAGAAGAGCTTGAGAAACTGAAAAATACAGTTTCCACCATCAAAGCTGTGCTTTTGGATGCCGAGGAGCAGCATGCAAAGAGCCACGAGGTTAGGGATTGGCTTGGAAAGCTTAAAGATGCAGTTTATGATGCAGATGACTTGCTAGATGATTTTTCAACTCATGTTTTGCAACGCCAAGTCATGATGATGCCGGGGAAAAGGGGGATAAAGCAGGTAAGCTTTTTGTTTTCAAAAGCAAACCAAGTAGCTTACAATCTTAAGATAGGTCATCAAATCAAGGCCATTAGGGAGAAATTAGATGCAATAGCTGCAGACAAAACCAAATACCACTTTACAGATCAGTCCCCTATAATCATGCCAATTGTAAAGGTTGAGAGGAAGCAGACACATTCGTTTGTGCGAAAGGAAGATTTAGTTGGGAGAGAGGGTGACAAGGAAGCCATCATGAAAAGGTTGTTGGACTCTGACGTTGTGGAAAATGTTTCAGTCATACCAATAGTTGGGATAGGGGGGCAAGGCAAGACCACTCTAGCTCAAATAGTGTACAATGATGAAAAAATTGTGAAACATTTTGAGTTGAGAATATGGGTTTGTGTTTCCGATGTTTTTGATGTTAAATTAATTGTTCAAAAGATTTTGGAGTCTGCAACTAATGCAAAATGTGAATATTTTGAGATGGATTCCTTGCAAACTCACCTTCGTAAAGGAATTGATGGCAGAAAATATTTACTCATCTTAGATGATGTATGGAATGATAATCGGGAGAGGTGGCGAAATTTGAGAGATTTGTTAATGAATGGTACGAGGGGAAGTAAGATAGTAGTCACTACGCGTGCTCAAGTGGTTGCTGCCATTACAGGCACAACCGAACCTTATCTGTTGGATGGTCTTCCAGAAGACACGTCTTGGTCCTTGTTTGAAAAAATGGCATTTAAAGAAGGCCAAGAGCCAAATAATTCGAGATTAGTAGCAATTGGGAAGGACATTGTCAGAAGGTGTGCTGGAAATCCCCTTGCCATTAGGACCATAGGAGGTGTTCTATATACAAAAGATACAGAAACAGAGTGGCTCTCTTTAAAAGAGGGTCAACTTTTGATGGTTTCCTCAAAATGAAGATGGCGTATTATCCATACTGAAGTTGAGCTATGAACAGCTGCCACCATATTTAAAACAGTGCTTTGCTTACTGTTCCTTGTTTCCCAAGGACTATGAAATTAACAAGCAAATGCTGATCTCACTTTGGATTGCAGAAGGGTTTATTCAATCATTCCAAGGAATTCAATGCCCTGAGGAGTTGGGTGATCAATATTTCATGGATCTCCTAAGGCGATCTTTTTTCCAAGATGTAGAATATGATGAATGGGGCAATGTCATAAGTTGCAAAATGCATGATCTCATGCATGACCTTGCTCAACTAGTTGCAGGGAGTGACAGCTCCATTGTAGATCTGGATTGTAAAAACATATCTGACAGGATTCGTCATGTATCATTCAATGCTGAGTTAGATTCATCCTGGAAAATTCCAACCCCGTTGCTCAAAGCAGACAAAATCCGGACGTTTCTTCTTCCTGTACAACCTATTCATCGTGTGATTTTGGACAAGGTTGATCATGATGCAGTCATTTCAAGTTTTAAACTTCTGCGTGTATTAGATCTACACAATACAGGTCTTGGCATTCTGTCAAGTTCCATCAGTAAGTTGAAACATTTGAGGTATCTGGATCTCTCCAAGAATGAAGTCATCAAAAGAATCCCAAGTTCCATGACTGAGTTGCTTAATTTGCAGACACTGAAACTCTATTCTTGTAAGAGATTAGAGGAGCTGCCGAGAAAATTAAGAAACATGACCAGTCTTAGGCATCTTGAGACTGGTCAGTGTACTGGTTTGACACATATGCCATCTGGGATTGGACAGCTAACTTCACTTCAAACATTAACACGATTCATAGTGGGCGTGGACTCTTTCGAAAAGACTAGTGGGGGTCTAAGGGAATTGAAAGACCTAAATGACCTGAGGGGAGAACTAATGATAGCAAAGCTGGAAAACTTGAAAAATGTTGCATCAGAATGCAAGGAAGCAAACTTGAAGGAGAAACAGTACCTTGAGGTGTTGACATTAGAATGGAGCCGAGAAGTTAATAATCATATAATTTTTGAAGAAGATGAAGCATTGTTGGAAGGCCTCCAGCCACATTCAAATCTTCAAGAATTTCATGTTTATGGATATAGAGCTGAAAGGTTCCCGAATTGGATGCTTTTTAACATGTCATTGCTACTCCCAAACTTACTTGAAATCACCATATGGAGTTGCAATAGATGCATACATCTCCCATTGCTCAGCCACCTTCCCAAGCTTAAGGTGCTTAGGCTTGAAGTGATAACTGCTGTGGAGTACATTGAAGATAGCGGTGCTGAGTCTTCTTCATCTTTATCATTTGGAGGCAATCTGTTGAAAGGAGGAACCGAAGGTAAAGAATTCTTCCCTTGCCTAAAGGAATTAATGCTTTTTGACTTGCGTAATCTGAAGGGATGGTGGAGGGAAGACTCTGCAGTTGCTGATGATAATTGTGGCAAAGCAGCAGCATCACCACAAAGGCCATTGGAGCAGAAGGAACCAATGCCTTCATTCCCTTGTCTTTCAAAATTAAGCATTGGGATTTGCACTAATCTGACATATATGCCATTGCATCCTCATTTGGAAGAACTGCAGCTAAAGAATGTGAGTGCAAAGCTCTTGCAACAGTCAGACATGATAGCAGCAGGAACAGAAGAAATTCCAATTGCAGCGGCAGCAGCAAATTTTTTGAAGGTGAAGGTTATGCATATTGATGGTATCATAGATTTGCTGTCATTTCCAGATAAGAGGCTTCATCATCTTACATCTCTTCAGCATCTATCCATAGACAACTGCCCCAAATTGGTATGCCTACCCGAGGAAGGATTGAAGAGTTTAGCTTCACTCCGGTTTTTCTATATTCGTGGTTGTGAAATGTTGAAGTCACTTTCTAAAGGGTTCAGACATCTAAAAGCCCTTGAAGAGCTTGAAATCAAAGAGTGCAGAGAGCTTGATCTGTCAAAAGATGTGGAGGAGAATGCCATGGAATTGCATTGCCTAAAGAGCCTCCGCACACTGAAAATTGGTGATATGCCACAATTAAGTTCTCTGCCTGACGGTCTTCAACATATCACCACACTGAAATATATTCAGATTTCAAGCTGTTCTAATTTGAAGATATTGCCGGAATGGATTTGCAATCTGACTTCAATTCAAAGATTTGAAGTCTTTGACTGTCCTCAGTTGGCATCATTTCCACAAACACTGTGCTCTGTCAAATCCTTACAGTACCTGGAAATTTCGAGTTGTCCACAGTTATTGGATACATGCCAAAACAAAACAAGCAAAAATTGGTCTATGATTGCTCACATCCCCGAGATTTTCATTGATGGAAAGAAAATGTGACCTCAACTGATACATATAGATAAAATTCTCCATTGGTTGTCTTTTACAGGTATGGCAAGTTTCCTTATGTCTCAGTCTCATCAAGCAAGCCACTTTTTCATTCTCTGTATTAACCTGTTTTATTGTTTTCAACATTATGCAGGGGAAAACAAACAATTACGATGCAGAGAAATCCAGAGAAAGCATATGTTGATGTAGATATTCAAAGCATCTGCTTCTTTAATAATTCCATTTTTTTTGGAGAAACATTGTACATTAGTTGACGTTATAGGTTGTCAGGAAAACCATTTGCACCTGCAAAACTTATGCTGAATTACCAAACAAAACTTATTTGTAAAAAAGTTCATGATTTGCCCTTTTCCTTTGTCTTTCCTTTTTACTCAATCATATATCCCTCAATCCTCATTCTTAGAGATGTTCATAGACCTAGGTTTGAGTAGAACTCGTATTTAATGTTAATAACTTATATACTTGTTTAGGAATAATTCGATTCAAAATTTTAAATTTCAAAATTTTTTCATATCTAATTTAAATTAAAAAAATATATTTCAAATCTATTCGTTAAACTTAATTTATACTAATAAAAAAATAAAAAATGATTAAATTAAATTTAATAAAATTATATTCAATTCACATATATAAAAATAATATAATAATAAAAATTTAATAAAATATATATAATTTTTAATTTTTTATATATAAATTAATTTATATATAATTAACATATATATAAAAATAAAAAATTTATATATATGAGAATTTGAATTGAGCTGGACTGATATAAAATTTAAATAAATCTAAAATTTATGTTCTAATTCATTTAATAAATTTTAATTTTTTATTTAAATCCTCTTAAAATTTTAACGTAACTTAAAACTTAAACTTAAACGAATAATTTAACTCTAAGTCTACTCACGCTAGTCCAACTATTTTTTTTTTGGTTCTTACCTGGGCACTGACCTAACATTACAAAAATTAGGTTTGAGTGATGACCAATAAGAGAGCTGAAAAGAAAGCAAGTAATGAAAATAGAAGAATGATTTGAGGGAATGTTTTTGCTTTTGTTTCTTATTCAATTGGGTTTAGTAGGGGTGAGCATTAATTCATTATAATCGATTTAATAAATCAAAATTATCAAAAAAATATTAATTTAATTTAATTTATTCGATTTCGGTATCTATAGATTAAAAAATATAGCTTTCAAAATTGATAATTGATTAGGCGGATTAATTGACTTTATTAATTTGTTTTAAAATTTTTTATATAAAATATATATTTTATATAACATATAATATAAATATAAAATAATATAATTTGTATATTTTTAAATAATTACAACCAAATAAATGGATCAATGAATGATTTAAATCAATTTGGATTATTTCATTTAATTACATATTTAATTCAATTCAATTCGATCAAATATTTTAAATGAAGTCAGTTAACTTAATCACAAAATTTTCCAAATCACGTCGACCTAAAGGCTTTTCGGTATCTCACTTAACATCCGTTTTAAACAAATATATTAGATGTAAATGGCTTTTAAAGATTAGTATCCTTTGTTCTATTTTTTTATTTTTTTTAAACGTTTCAAAATTATATATTTTTTTTGAATATTTAAAATTTTTATTTTTTATATTTTAAAATTATATTTATTTTTAATATTAAAAATTATAAAATTTTAATCTTATAAATATTTTTTTAATTTTAATATTAAATATATTAAAATTAAAAATTTTATTTAAAACTTTATAAAAATTAATATTAAACAAATGTTTTGGAAAGAAGAGTGTTAAAAAAAAACCCATGGCATTTGACTTGTAAAACATTAAGAAAAAGACGCAAATTGTTGTCATTAAAATTCAAAGCCATGACGTGGATCAAGGAAGAAAGTATTAATATAATTAATTTAGTCTTAATTAATGTAATATAATAATATAATTAATTTAATCATAACTGAGATTTACATTAGAATTAAAAAATAATTTTAAATGGGGTGGTGGTGAGGGGCCCACTTTCTCATTCTCTCTCTCTCTCTCTCTCTCTTCGATCTTCTGTTTCTTTAATTCAACTGAGAAATCGGAAATCTAAAGCAGCCAAGATTCTCTCCTCTTCTTCCAATTTTTTTTTTTTAATTTTAAAATTATTTTTGCAGTGAAAAAAAAAACGATAAGAATGAAATTGTTGTTGTTGTTGGTGTCGGTGTCGGTGTCGGTGTTGGTTAATGTCGTTCCGGCAGCAGTTGGCTTTAAGGTTTCACAGGAGACGGTCTCCTCCTTCTCCACCGCTTCCAACTTGCTACTCCGCCGCTCCTCCGCTTCCTCCACGTGACGCTTCTTCCTCTTCTTCCGCCCTCATGTCTCCCGAAATTTCGATGCTCATCCGCCGAGCTGCTGTCATTTTCACGCTCCTCACACTTTCCGCTTTGCTTCTTTACACTGCTACCGATTCCCTCCGTTCGTCGTCCGTTTCCCTTTCTTCTTCCTCTTTCGCTCGGATTTTCCCTTCTTCTTCTCCGGTCAGTTCCCTTTTCCTTTCCTCTCTATTCTTTCGCTTGAAGAAGCTTTACATCTAAAGTTATTTTCCTACAGAAGAATCCCACGCAACAGCTTGAACAAGTTTTGGAGCATGCTTCCATGGTGAACAAGACTGTTATTTTAACGACTTTAAATGATGCCTGGGCGAGTCCCAATTCAGTTGTTGACCTTTTCCTTAAAAGCTTTAAGCTTGGAGATGGCACACATAGGCTTTTGGACCATTTGGTGATCATTGCCTTGGATCAAAAGGCATATAATCGTTGTCGAATTGTACATAAGCATTGCTTTGCTCTTGTCACTGAGGACGTTGATTTTCATCAAGAAGCATACTTTATGACCCCACACTACCTGAAGATGATGTGGAGAAGGATTGATTTCCTACGATCTGTCCTCCAGTTGGGTTATAGTTTTGTCTTCACGGTATTTGCCTTTTCTCTTTCTGGAAAGCTTAATCTCATTAGTTTGACCAATCGTTGTTTTTTGCAATGGCTGTTTTTGTTCTAGAATGGATGACTCTTCCTATATGTGTAGTCTGATATCTGACTGAATAAAACTTCTTGCTTTTAGAATTGTTAAGCTGTATTGGAAGCTTTCATTGGTCCAACAATCAGAAGAAAATTGGTTGTTGCTGAACGATGTACATCATATAAGCTTGTTTGCTGTGGTGCAGTCTTAAACATTGCAGGAAATGCTTAAAGAATCATCAAGAAATAATAGATATGAAAGTTCTCAGACTTTCTGTATTTCAGAGCTACAAGGTGTTGGGTTTTTTTTATGTCCGGGAATAATCTTACTGCTCTAAGACTAGTCTTTATTTATGATTTTCTGAAGAACATACGTTTTACTGTCTGTATAACATAATAAAACTAAAAACCATATTGTGACCCCATCTAATTTTGTGGAATGTTGGTTAGAATGTCAAAATAGGACTATGACCTCTGTCTTCTTGAGGCTATACTGGTATGCATATGTAGTGAGTAATGGCAATCATTTTGCACAAACAAGAGTTTTCTTCTCTCTGTTCTTGTACAGGTTCAGTTCTGTGGTGCTGCACCGTTGTCTCTCGTGAAATGTAGCACTATTTATTTTGGTCAGTAGAAATAGACAAACTTAGATACAGTCTCTAACATGTTGATACACAAAGTGGGACGAGGGATAGCAGGGAATAGTTGGGGTGGCTACAACATTCTCTTAGATGCAGCCTTGTCTCACATGTTCATAGCTTTTCTCAGTTATATTTATGGATCTTACTCAAATCTAATGAACCTTGTGAAAGTGCTTATCTGCATGTTTAATGCCGTTTTCATTGGTTTACTTATCCAGGATGCTGATATCATGTGGTTTAGGGATCCATTTCCACGTTTCTTTCCAGATGCTGATTTCCAGATTGCATGTGACAATTTTTTGGGCAGACCTGATGATTTGAATAACAGACCCAATGGGGGATTTAACTATGTAAAGTCTAATAATCGGTCCATAGCATTCTACAAATTCTGGTATTCTTCACGTGAAACTTATCCAGGATATCACGATCAGGATGTTCTCAATATGATCAAGTTTCATCCTTTCATCTCAGATATTGGACTGAAAATTAGATTTTTGGATACTGCTTATTTCGGTGGTCTTTGTGAACCTAGCAAAGATATGAATGTAGTATGCACAATGCATGTAAATTGCTGTTATGGTATGGATAGCAAGCTTCATGATCTTAAAATTATGCTTCAAGACTGGAGAGCTTTCATGTCGTTGCCACCGGATCTGAAGAATGAATCTATTATCTCCTGGAGGGTCCCTCAGAATTGCAGGTACTCTTGCTGTCTAAATCTGGAATATTTGTTTTTGTCTTTCTATCATACTATGCATTGTAAGTTAATATGATCTGGAACTTTTTCCTCAAAATGGTTTCTCAGTTCTTTCAACTGTATTACAGTCTCAGTTCTTTACGCCATTTTGATTCACCCCCTCCTGAGATGGATGTTCACCAAGAGGAAGAAGATTGATTGGAAATGTACATATGTTTATATTATTTACTGTAAAAAGATGATGACAGGGTAGGTTTTCTGGTTCCTTTTGATTTTTGTGATAACTCTCAATTCACACACGGATTTGATGATAGTGACTTTACATTGTCCATTGGCTTCCATTGCTTACTGTGCCAATCCTCACCTTCCTCATGTTACCTCTCTAATCTAAGTATATCGGGATTTGAACTTCAAATCTATTGTATGTCACTTTTTAAAAGTGATTAAATGAATTAACTGAACAAAACTTCAGATTCGTATTTCATTTTATTTTTGCAATCACCTCTAGTTGTTAAAGAAGCTTGAAATGTCTTAACTTAACACCAAAAGTAAGGCTTATTGGAGTGGGCTCCTTTTAGCAAGTACATGTCTAAACATGAAATGCCCAATGAAGGACAAAAATGTGAAGGGAAAAAGGACAAGCTATTGCAGCCCAGCAATCTGTCAGTGAAGTAATTGATCGGTTAGCCTTAACCTGACTGTCCAAGGGTTTCCCACCTTTTGTATTTGTGCTGCTAATTCAGCTCATTTGAACGCTGGGAAATCGTAGGCTCCAGTGAACTCTCAAAGCTGTCAATTTCTTTCCTTTAAGTGGCCGCCGTGAAAGCATTAAGTAAAGCATGAAGTAGATATCCTAGTCGAGAAAAATGGCATGAAAATTGATGAAATTGTTCACGGTCAGGTCTGCCTTCAATCCACAATGTTGCCTGCAGAGAGGACGTGGTTGTCAATAAAAAATATTCTTGTTTTACAGACCGTTTCACCGTATCCCATTCTTCTTCAGAATTCTAATTGCTGGATGGATTCTTCATTTCAATGCATCCCAATAAAACTTTTGCCATCCTGTTTTTCTCATTTTGTAACCATTACGATACACCAAAATTTACCGAATGTTGAAGAGCTAAGAAACAAACCTTGATATCTAACAAATCCATAGCTCGTAGTGTTGACGTCAAGGCTTTGGCTTTCTGGTGGCTCTCTGGCCTCTAAGACCAGTTCAAAAATACTCCAAAAAATTGTTTAAACATATACTTGTCAGCTGTCTTCCATTAGCGGAAATAAAATCTTACATATGAACAACTTCAAATGCAAGAAAACTTTATACAAATAAAATACTACGGTTCCACAGTTTAGATGTGTGCTATGAAGAAATAATGTACATGAGGGCTGCATAGGCTATACAAAATACCTTCTGAACAGGAATGAAAGGATAGTGGCTATATCAAAAATAAAAACAAGTGATATAGCCAACGGAACATAACTCAGAGATTTTATTAAACAGCATCGGCATCCAGTTGCTGCCGGCTCTTGAGAATGCCCTCATTCCAGATCTCAATGCACCTGTATATATAGAAGTAGTGTAACAATGAAGAAGACAAACTTAATTACTATAAAATACTCAAAATCTTATCCGAATTTTTCTAACAATTGTGCTTTGAAGATGCAGGCATACTTTTCACACAATGTACAGAACTCAACTTAGTTTAACCTGTGCTATATGAATTCTATATCTGGAGTAAAAGATATCACATGTTTGTATGTGAGATTGCTTCACAAACAATTTCCATCGTAACTTTTAGTACATATTCAACTGTCCATTGATTAGTATAACAAGGAACTCAGAAGTGATTCATGGTCAAATGTTTATGTAGGTTCTGAGACTTCTGAGATGTGATATGTAAGTTACCTTGCTCCATCAACAGTAATACAAAGGAACTGGCCATGTCGCCACCCATCTTCAAAATGGCCAAAGAAGACATTTCCGGATTTTGAATAGAAGCGGCCTTCACCATTGGCCTTACCCTTCCAAAAGTTTGCAAACCACCGATCTCCAGTGTGAAAATAAAACCAGCCCTACATGACCACGTGAAAGTAAGTAAAAACGAGCAGTACATTTACTTTCTTATTAGATCCAGAAGCAAAATAGATGCCCTTATTAAAATATTAAAAGAAGCAAAATAAATATGCTAGTTTAATTCATGAAGGTCTTTAGATGCAAGTAGCCGACATAAAAATAGATATTTTCAAAAAAAAAAAATAATAATAAAAAAGCTAAGGCTCCTTTTGTTCATAAACATTGACTTCCAGAAAATGACTTTTACAATTTCTGGTGTTTGTTTGACAGTAAATTGTATAACAAAATAAATACTATCTTCATTTTTGTTAAAAAAAAGGGGGGGGGGGGGGGGGGGAAGACGCCTAACCTTGCCATGCATCAGATCATCTCTCCAAGATCCCTGGAAAACATCCCCGTTACTAAAGTAGAATGTACCCACGCCTGATCTCTTACCATAGCGCCACATACCATCATAAATGCTTCCATCACCAAGAATAAGACGACCCTATATAAAATTTACTCAACTATCATCTGATTTCATCTCCCAATAAAATAAAAAAAAAATCCTTCATAAACAGAATTTTGTCAAATAAATCAAGCCTATATCACAGTACCTTTCCTTCAGGGAGACCTCCTTGGCATCTTCCCTTGTAGACTCCTCCTCTGTACTGCATTTCCACAATAGGACTCCACTTCTTTGGTGAGTCTCGTTCAGCTTCCTGTGTTAGGCTAAATAATTAGAACAAAAATCTTCATCTACTCAGACATAACAAACAACTCCAAGGTGATAATAAAGATGACTGACATACCAATGATAGCATATTAAGGATTCAATCCCTAAGAAAATTTGGGAATAAAGTTTAATTTAAGGATTACAGTAAAAAGTCTCATAATATGAACTGAAAGACAAACCAGTCACTACTAAACAAATAAAGAAATGATAAACTTTCACTAAAAGCATTCTGTTAACCTTTTTCTGTTTAATTAACTTCTAGGCAATCTTGCAAAATGACAAGTAGTATTATTTTTATATGGGGAAAGTTTGGATTCTAGCTGTGTCTCTTTTGCAAAATGAAATTTCAGGTAAGCATTAAAAAAAGCTTAAATTATTGTAAAATTCACTTCAGTGATCAATACTCTAAGCTGACACGAAAACAAATGCATAGGGTAAGTGAATAATAAATAAACAAGTTTTATAACTGAAGCTATCTAGTGTGAGCCTACTTGGTATGATTGTACAACTCCAAGACAAGGATATGAAACTAGTAGATGTGCAAATTGACAAAATCTTCATTATGCCTTATAATTGATCTTACAGTACATGACCCAAAAAATGAATTCCAGAAAACTAAAAATGCCTTAAAGCTGAACTAAAAGAAAAAGATAGAATGTTTCAAAGAACTTAAATGAGATGCAGATTACCAGCATAGAAGCTGCACGAGCAGAAAGTAGTCCCTGCTTCTTAAGAACACCAGTCTTTGTCTTTAATAGTGTAGATGTGATGTTATAAAATTCCCTCATCACTTCAAGACTTGCATCATTCAATGCACCCCAAGATCTACTTGAGCTAGGAAGTGCTGGGGCTTTGACACCATTTTCAGATTTTGATTCTGCAAATTCAATAGCATACAAGGTATTGACACGCTCTTTCAACTCTTCTGAAGACCTTACTCCGACAGGAAGGCGGAAGATACTGAGATTATCAAGCACTGGTGTAGCTTCTGAGTCAGCTGCTCTTTCTTTGGCCCACTCCTGTGCAAGCTGATGTCCAGGACCCAAGTTCCAGCCACTCAGTGGCTCCCGATGGAAAGTTGGAATACCTGGAGAACATGTTTTGACCATAGTTTGGAAAAAGAATGAGCTGATTCACTTTTCTAATATGCAATATCAGCAGATTCTTTAAAGGTTACTTGGATGATCATGAGTCATCAAATTGTGAATAGTTACTCTACCCTGACAAAGAAAATTTGCTATTGCTACCTTCAATAATTTCATCATAATAGCTGGAAGAGTCAGTTTTTCCATCTAATAAAGCAACCTCCTTTTGATCAGATTCGCTGTCATAATTTCTACAACAGAAAAATATTTCAGATCTTTATAAGCAATTTACGGAAGAGAGAACCTTAATAGAGAATTAAAGTGCAAAGGAATAACAACTGAACCTCAAAGAGTAGATATCATTGGATTTGCTGTTTGGTACATTCTGAATTTCTTCACAGTACTGGTTGAAACCTCCAGATACACCTTCTAAAGCTACTTTGTTTTCCATTTCATTGGAGCCTGTCCCATTCATCCCCTTGACATCATTTTCGTAAGTTTCATTTGACTGCAAAAGATGTCTCCTCAAAAGATTAAAAACAAATGGGAAATGCCGCGCCAGTCTAGTAAAGATGCCGCTTTTTTGCGAAGTCTGTTCTTCAAGATGACTGCAAAATTTTAGACGAAACGAAGAAGAAAAGAAAACAGCCAACAGAACTTGGATTTATAACCTACATATCAGTAAATTTAGAACAGGAAAAGATGTTGAAGGAAACAGAAAAAACAGGAACCACAAAAACTAAAATATATGCTACATAGTGTGATACTGTCAACAAGATAAAAATACATCAGGTTTGTGCTTTACCCATAAATAGCTACCATAAGCCCATGACATGAAGAAGCCTAAAGCAGTTGAGTAAATTACAAATAAAACTCCAATAAAATAATCCACCTCCTAATCATCAAGCAACAGAAGCTATCATAGCTATTCATCTATCTATGCAGTGGTCAAGCTAGGAAAGGGAGGAAGCTGCAAGGTAAGATTTCAATGCAACTCATTGTCAAGTCTATTTGCCTTGTAATTTCTCTTCCAGCAATAAGACTTGCCATTTATAGGCTTGCTTGGAGAACATATCTCCATGATTTGGGCAAAGATACTTGTTCTTAGTCATATATGCCAAAAATAAATTCAACATCCTCCCTATTTTAACTAATAATAAACTGGCCAGGACAGTAAATTCAACAGTTTGTTTGAATCAATTTGACCCAATTAACCAACATGAAGATTTTGTAGGGCTAGTTGAACTAAATAAATATCAAAGGGCCAAATTTACCTTTTTGTCCAAGTACATAATTTTACGCTTGAACAGAGAATGCCATGGATATGGTTCCAGTACATATGTGAACAAGAAGGTTGCTATCTCCAATCAATCAAAAGAAAAGGGAAACGGGATCACTACTCAAGCAACACTTAAATCATACCATATGATATCACTCTAAATTAGAATATAGCTAAAACTGCTAGGAGCACTTAGGAACTTTAGTTACTCTGTGTGGTTTAGGAAATTACTTCTGAATATTTGTAAGTGACAAACAATGGACAGAAACTAGTTTGTACAGCCATACAAGTTTACACAAATAATTAGCACATCAGCTGATAAATGCCTAACATATCAGAATTGCAAGGAAAATAATATAACTAGTTGAAGAACACCGAATTGACAATTGTATAACTAAGATAAAATAAGTCTGTATTGGTTGCAATCTTAATTTTAAAACAAGAATTCTTACCCCAAGATAACAACCGTTGTGACTAGCAGGTTGGGCTCCAGATTAGGTTCATGAATTACAGATATTATGATATCCTTTGTGTACTCAGTAGTTTGACGGAATGTATGCAAAAAGGCTTGCACATCATTGTTGTTGATAACATTTGAACTTGCAACAACACATATAACCAAACCATTGAGGTCCTATGTCAAAAAATGAAATGGTCAAAGCTTGTAATAACAAATGCCACAGAGAAAAAGGGTTATAGAACAAAATATTGAAAACAATTATATTTTGATGGGATTTTAACAGCAAAAAAGACCATACAAGGAAAAAAGGCTGAAGGAGCAGTTAAACAACACAAAATACAAAGTCATCCATGCAGGCATATACACATATATCTCTACAGTTCACGTGAAACACATGCCAGATCTGCACTCATATTTCCTTCAATCGTACCTTTAGCCCTGCACCAATAAAAGGGCAGTTATACATAGCTTGCGAAATTGAAGTTCTGATATTGTAACCAGCTCCAAATCCAAGTTTTGCTTCTTTGTACTTTCCAAGAATCTGCACAAGTTTCCATTCATTTTAGAAAAGTTTAAGTTACAAACAAAAAAGGTGTAAGCATTGAAATCTTATAATTTGGGAACAAGCAACTTATGTCTAAGTTCCTCAATCAACGAAGGTCAAGAAAAGATGCCAGTTGCAGGACACAAAGACAAATTAGGAATAATGAACAAGAAAAAAAGAAAAACAACACAGTTTAACAACAAAATATGAAAGTTTTAGAAATAATAAAATAAGTAATAACTATCACAAAATGCAAGGTCAGGTCAACTTACATTTATAACTTCTGAAACTCCAAGTTCTTTCATATTATCATGAACTGCATCAATAAGTTTTCTTTGCATCTCCTGGAGAATTCCCAGATTTCAACAATGACATAAGCATAATGTAAAATTTGAGTGCCAACCAAATAAGGGAAAAGAAATGCTTACACTTATGATCACTGATATTGCGTATATGGCAAGTAAAACGGCATTATTTGCAGTTTTCAAGGCCTCATCTAGAGTTACCAAGTCGTTTTTGAGCAAGGAGTCAGTGTCAATATCTGCATATAAGAAGTTACTACTTAATGTGCCACTTTAAGGTTAACAAGACTACAACCAAAAAATAGAAAAAATCAGTGAGAACTACTAACATCATAATGGGCAGACTGTTTGCATTAGAAGTGACTTATTATTCAATTTAGGGACAAGTATTGCCAAGTAACTAAATAAACCCCCCCCCCCCCCCCCCCCTCTCCTTTTTGTTTCTTCTATTATAATCAGCAGAAATTTAGTTTTCCATAACAAACTCAATGAAAGTGAAAGCATGAAATTTAAAACCAAAGCTAAACTATTGAATTACTCAATCAAAGAGAATGATCACATAGTCCGTGGATCAGTTCAACACCACTGGCAGTCACTCAAAGTGGAATTTAAAACTAAACAACCAGTCGTGCGAATAAATGGTTCAACTTTGAATTGTCATTTAGGCCAACTAGCAAAGTAAGAACTATCATTTTGATGGGTTACTTTAACAGTGATGTCCTTTTAGAAGGAATATGTCTGTTTTGTTCTGATGGGTGGATTTTAAAATTGCCACAATTGGTTCAGTAAACAAAAAAAGAAAAAAAAAGCATCTCTATTGGTATCATTAATCCAAACATTTATCATGCAGAATAGACTAATTCAATCATAAATACGAAAATGGTAGGTTTCACGTATCCACCACCCTTACAGCTGATGGCAGGGAATTACATAGATAAATTGTGAAGAACAAAGCAGTCTGGAAGATCAGAAACTAAGCACAAGAAATTACGGTTTCACACACCTAAGCAAACAAGTATAAGTGGGTTAACAGAGAGGTCCAGGAGGTTCCTAATATTGTAATCACACATGAAAGCAAGGCAAGGACTGATTGGATCTTCCACGTCAGACTATGGCAGCATTAGATCATGCATGTGGAACCCCACTTACAGTTAGCGACAGTGGCCAAAAACTTCAATCATCTTGCTAGCGTGCCCATTTGTTTCAATACCAAATGTCAATGGAAGCAAGCAACCTTCTTCCCAATAGGACAGATAGCCACCCTAAGAAGTATGGTTGCCTATTTCAGTAGCCTCATATTTTCTACCACCAAGAAAGACCCTCAAAGCAATTTGAATAAAACCAAGAGACATAGCAAACCTCTTGGCGCCCTGCTAAAAAAGAGCAGCTATTTCTTTTGCTAAAAGCGCCAAGATCAAGTACCTTCTTGACAATGGCAAGTAACAACATCAAGATAAAACATAGAATAACCTTGGTAGGTCTAACCTAGTTGCATCACAATAATAGCTCCTGTATGTTCATAAGTACTTGGGAGTTCATAAATGATAAAATTTGACTATCCAGTAATTTCAAAGAAATGTTGAATATTCAACTAACAAAATCTTTTTATCATACTTACCAATACAAAAATTTGTAACCTCTTGAAGTTTTCCAACCAAATCTTTCACCTGCAAATTGAGTTAACAGTTATGATATGTGGTGAAAAGGAAACATGAAACTATCAGTTTGAATTGTTGTTCGCAGCTATCCATATAACCCAATAACCTTAAGTTTCAAACTTCCCCCTTTTGGTGCACCATAAGGTGGCCTATATGCCTACATAACTTTGTGCCTAATACTTATCAATTAACCCTTACAAACTCTTAGAAAAGTTAACTTCTGTGAGATTCCTGCAACAAAATCCATAGACTCAGGGTACAAGTTTCCTTTTAAATCTTAAACATATTCAACTCTAATTGATCTTCAAATCCTCATTCGTCATTCTACATATAAAACAAAAGGTTGAATTTTTTGAGCTTTAACCCCCCAAAAATTTCCAAGTAGGTCATCTCCAATCACTCCTATGCCATCATTTTGTCAATCCTTTTATCATAGACTATATGAACTCTCCAATGCTTTGGGGTTGCTTAGTCTACACAATCATTTTTTGTAAAATTTAATATTTCATGGTAAGAATCATGTGTCTTATACCAAAATAATATGAAATTTATATATCAAATAAGATCATTTCGCAAATGGTTTGTATTCAAGGAATATTGCGGACATTAACTGTGACTTTGCAACCATGTGAAGTTTGGACATTGAAAGATTTGCGTCAAAAATGTTACAGCATAATCCATTTTATTCTCAATTAACCATGAGACAGACAGACATGTAAAAAGAATGAATCTTGTTCTTGAAAATTCACCTTTCTAGAAGAAGATTTTGTTCTCAAAACTATGGACATTTATGCCAAAGAATTATATACAGGATCGTTTTAAACTGTTATATCCACATGGAAATTCATAAGTTCTTTATGGTAAGAAGGAAGTCATGTCACAATTTCGAAGCATTAATGACCTCATCAAGTCGTCTCTGCCCCTCAAAACTGAAAGGCTTTAAAATAATAGCAACAGCAAATCCATTGGCAGATCTTATTGCTTTCAGTATGTCCATTGCTGCAATGTGATCCAAGCCATATCCAGCACCAGCCACCTGGTTGACAGAAAAAAAAATGCAGAAGCAATTTGGTTCAGTTTTGCTTCATGTGAAAGCACAGCATAACAACCCAGAAGAGCATATTGACAGTTTTCACCAAATGACTGCAAATTAATACAATATATTTTTCCAAGATATAAATAAATAATTATATATATAGAAAAAAAAAGTTTATCTCGTAACTTCATTTATCAAAATTCAGCACAAACCATAAGGGAACCAGTGTTAATGCTCAAATTTTGAACAATAAGACTACAATAATCAAATAACCTAAAATAACACTGTCAAATCAAATCAGGCCCCTAAGCCTTTTCTTTTGACGCCATGTTTGCTGGCCCTTTTATGGAAAATACAATCAAATCAACTATATTTATTGAATCAATATCCTTTTTCAAGCACTAAACAATAAGATTATACACCAAGAAAAGGCATCATCCTATGGAAGGGCAAAACATATGCCAATAACCCTTCTGACATTCTTCTTTTGAATAATAATCCTATTGTAAAAGAAAAGTAGTGAGATTCATAGCCAAAACTAGTCACAAGCATGTCAGACACCCCCCCCCCCCCCCCCCCCCCACACACACACACACACACATAAAAAATGATACAGCATCCTCTTCTTGGTCAATCCTCTATTAAATAGTAGTTGAAGACAAAACATATGTAATCAAATAAATCTACTGAGATTTTGCAAGTTGACTAATTTGCTTCAATTTTGGTGACATTTGAACTCTTTCAAGGGGGCTAATGTAATGTAATTTTATTTACTTCAGTTTGAGCACACTATAAAGATGAGAGAGACAAACAGGATAAATAGAATAAGAAAAGTATTCTAAAGAACAAATGTACTATTTTCAATTTTCAGGTCAGATCACATTAAAACCAAGAAACGACTGGGCAAATGGGGAAGTTCACTGAGAAATATAATAATCTCTTGCTTTCATATATATTAGCATTTACAATTTTCAATAGTTGCAAGGCTATAAAGAAGTATCAAATTTATAGGGTAAGTAAATGATATATATCATATAAATTGTGGATGTTCAAGAGTTTTTGGAGTATAATACACATATGAGAAATATTGTAAAAGTATTTATGCTAATTAATTATCAACAAAATAAACACTGCTATAATAATCATTCTGATTGCATCTAGTAGACTAGTAGACATCTGGTATACTATTCTCGTAGACTTTCTTTTTATGTCATTCATGGTAGGAGGGTTATTGTCTCATCATTTCAAACAGTTTCTGCATAATATTTCATTTGATGATGAAATAATAATTGGCATTCAGTGTTTTAAATTTTCTTTGAAAAAAATAAGATGCAAGAGTCCAAGGCAAGGAATGTACAAACAAGGATAATAGTCTTTGAACATGACTGAATGAAAACAGCAGCTTCCACCATCCTTGGTGTAAGATCTGGAATGGAGAACAAAAAAACAACAAAAGATTAGCTAAGTTTTGCATGCATGGGATAAAAAATAAGTTTATGAAATTTAAAGACATTGATATATTAAAATACAAACTTCAAGAAGTAATGAAAACCAAAAAATTCCAGCTTTTTAGTATTTTCTATTTCTGTCTTCTTTTATCCCTGTTTTTTTCCCTTTTTCGTATAAGGTATGAATCGAAGATCTATCTAGACCCTATCCCATCTTTACCACTTAAGCAAATTATTATAGTTTGAAATTGTTAAGTTGTTTTACTCTAAATCTCAATATTGCAGCATGATATGGTACACAACTGATGTAATTTGGTTATAGTGAAATTGTATAGAAAAAGTAAAGTTATAGCCACAAGGCAAGCAAACTGCTCCAAAAACCAAGTACAAATGTACAATGAAGGCTTGCTCAAATATTGATTGATTGGTAAAAACAAGTGACAAGAAAAGGCAGTAATTCTAATTCAGAACTGACTAAGCTACAACATAAGACTTAGTCAGAGTGATATTTGATTTAATGATCTTCCTAAAGTAAAGTTACAATAATGCTTTGTTGCATGAAGCACAGGAGAGCCATAGAGCATCTGATGAATGCTTGAAGAAATTAAAAAAGAATCTTAATATAAGAATGCCTTTTATGTGCCAGAGACTGACAAGGAAAACAATGCCACACATTCAGTGCAGCAGCAAATATGAAATTTGCATGTAAAGCAAGAAACTTCACCGAAACAGCCAACCATAAGAAATGATTTTAGAAGTAAAATAATTACAATGAAATCTCATAGTCTAGGTATAATTTCAAATTTGAATTTCATGTTTGGTTGATATAGCTTATAGCATGACATTACAAACTAATGAGTTAAAGATAGTATAAAACCTTTTCCGAGGAACCTTTGTTGTAACTGCACATTTGATGTGTCTTTCACGAGAATATTCCTGGAAAAAGAAAGATGTAGGTGAGAATCTCAAATATATAAGAATTGAAAAAGATATGAGGCTAGAAACTAGAAACCAATAAGGAAAATATAGATGAAAACTATAGCTTAAAACAAAGCTTTTATTTTAACTTTATGACAAGATTGCTTGAAAGAGTACTCCAAGGGAAAAATATCTATTCATAACAATAATCTAAGTCAGAAATTGTAAAGGAATAAAAAAGATTAGGAAAATTTGCAATTTTGGCACATCACAGCACTGGAGAATTTTTTAGGGTATGTGTCAAACCTCTCATCAGTGTAACTTGAGCTGTAAGGTATAGTAGTGTCTTTAAATTTATTAAACAAAATATTTAAAACCAAAGATTTGCTCCAAGATATGAGTCATTATCGCAATACAAAATTTTGAAGGTTCTTTTATTAATGTTAAGACACAACCATACCAAAGTGGTCTCATCTGGCATATGTCACAGACAAAATGTGATAACCTCAGTGGCAACTGGGATCAGATTTGAGCTGCTATACACAATTCTAACCAAAGACAGGCAGCCAGTTAGGTTCTCACGTGTAGAAAACAGATCTTTTGAGTTTAACAAGATTAACATGACAACAAGATCCTTCTTGTTAGCTTCTTTTCATTAGACCGTCAACCACAATACAAATCTCTCTTTCAACAGTATTTAGCAACAAAACCGCAATCGAAAACCTGTTCTAATAAGCCACATTGATAATAACATAACTTCCAATCAGCTTTACCCTTTGGAACATGTATAAATAGGAAAATTAAAACATACCCATTTAGCAAAACCATGGCTACCGCAAATTAAAACCTTTAAAACCAAAAAAAAAGGGAAAAAAATAAAAAGATATTTACCAAAATCTCAAAGAAGACGACTGGAAAGGAGAGTCGAAGCAAAATTCAAGCACAGCATCTTTCCTACTACCAATGGCAATCACTTCGACTACCCCACTGTTCTCCTTCATGTTGTTTCCATACCCATTTAATGAGCTAGATTGTTTCTCCATACTCATCGAAATTTTAACAAGAGACCTCGAGTTATAACTCAATCTTTTACAACAAAATCTTTTGGGTCCCAAGAAGGAATTGAGAAAAACAGGCTTTGAAGAGAAATGGGTTAAAAGGGAAATGCGAGAAATTGTACCAAAACCCATGAAAACTGGAACCTCCATTGAAGAGCCTGGCATTTTCTTTGGTTGCAAAATTTTGTCAGCTGGTTAGGCTTATGGAAACACCAGTAGATTTTCTTTGTCGATTTTCTTTATCTGAAGGACTGATTTGCAATCTGGATAATTAAAAAAAAAAAAGAAAAACCCAAAATTTACGTTTTGTTTAGATAAACAGTAGGAAAAGAAAGGGAAGGATACTAGAGTAGAGAAAGAAAAGGTGTTTTAAAAGAAAGAAAAAGATATATGACTTTTTTTTTATAATTAAAATTAATAGAAAAAAATAAAAAAATTTTGACAATTATTGTTTGGTTAAATAATAATAAAAAAATTATTATTTTAATACTTGATAATTTTGTTTTTATTATAATATTTATATGTTTATGTTAACATATTTTATGCTTTTAATTTTTTTATTTTTTCATAAAAATAATCATCAATAAAATTTATGATATTTATAAAAATAAAAAAATTAAATTAAATAATATTTTATATTCTTAATTTAATTTTAAATTTTAAAATTATACACTTTTAATTAAAGATATTAATAAAAATATAATAGTTATTTTATATTTTAAAAATTTTATTCTTTTTCTTTTTCTTCTCTTTCTCCAAATTAAAAGTAATTAAAATTAAAAAAATAAAAAAATTCAAGAGAAACAAAGTATATCTTTCTTTTCTTTATTTTTAATTATATCATATACAAATAAAAAAATTTCTTCATTTTTTTGTTTCTTTTTTATTACTTTCTGATTTTTTTTTTTCTTCAATCCAAACGTTCGCTTAAACCGAAAGACAAATAATAATAATAATAAAAAAAAAAAAAAAATTATGGCTATGGGTAATGAAATTTAGGCCCAAGTACTTGGGGTACTTTGGTGTTGGCTGAAGACCCAAGATTAAATAAAAGTATATAAATAACATACTCTCTTCGACTTTTTCTTTTTATTATTATATTTTATTTTTTTAATATTTAATATTTTTTATTTTAGAATTATATTTTATGATTTTTTTTTACTTTTTGACATTAAGAATCATGAGATTTTAATTTTATAAAAAAATTTAAATTTTAATATTAAATATATTAAAATTAAAATATTTTTCTACATGATAAACATTTTAAAACTCAGAGTATAATTTTGCCATTTAGCACACTTGGCTACTTTGGTGGAATAAAAAAAATTGAAAATATGTTTTTGAAGGCAGAGAAATTATTTTTGTAAAACTTTTAGATTTTACAAATGAAATTAACAGAATTTTTTAAAGTTACACATATAAAACGCAATTAATAATTATAAATATCCGCTGGATTTTCTTACAAAATTGAAAAAAATAATAGCTAGGGAATGAATAAAAAAAATCTACCTTCATTTCTTTAACATCAATCCTATTTATGGGGTTTAATTTAAATTAATTGCAGCCCCAAATCCTAATTCACCCACAAAAATTTTACTGCCTCATCAAATTCATGGGAATAATAACTTGACAATGAGGTCCACGGTTATGGTTAAGTTGTCTTTTTAAAGGGTGAAAACTATAGTGTTGGTCATTAAAAAAAAATTGTAGCTGGCATGAAATAAAAACTGTAATTCAAAGCAAATAAAAATAAATAAAAAAAATATTAAAAAAAAACTGTCTTAATCAAGACTTTAAATTCAGCCTTAACTTTATTATATAATCTTTCTTCACCACATTAATTCTTTTTTTTTTTTGTGCTTTTACAATATAATATCCATGGCCCAAAACTAGGTTCACTTTATAGAGTAACAGGCCAGTGGTGTTACCAAGCAGTACTAGATAAAAAATAGATTTGACATCATGAAGTGATATGAAATTAATATAAAAAATAAAAAAAATGATTTTAAAATTTTAATAAAATTTAATTTGATAAAAATAAAAATATGTATTTTAAATTTGATAATATAATTTGATATTTTATATTTATTTAAAATAAAATAATTATAAATGCTTAAATTATCAAATTTGATAAATAACAAGGTAAAAAAAAAAGTGAAGGGTTTTTTTTTTGCTTATTTAGTCTTGGTTGGATTAGGTATTTTCTCTAAGTTTTTTTATTGTGAAATTTCCCACTTTTAAGAGAATGACAGAAATACCCTCTTTCATTTCCAGATGTGACATCCTGGTCCCTCTTTTGTTACTGGAATAAGAATCTTGTTCATCTCTGTTTTTGCCCTTTGCATGTTAAAAAAAAAAAAAACACTCCTACGTACTTTAACACAACACTCTCTTTAATCTTAAGAGCTTAGTTTCACGTAACAAACTAATCTTAAGAGCTTAGTTTCACGTAACAAACTTCGAAACAATTGTTTGTGTCAGGTGTTTTGATTTTCTTTTTTTCATTTGCAAAAAACCCTATTTTAGTTTTGTGTTTTTTTCTTTGTGGGATTGAAATTTCTTGTTTCTTTGAAGTGATTTTTACTGTGAGTGCCCAGTGGGGGGAACGGGTGATGATAGCAAGTTTGTCTGCAAGTGAGTAACGAGATACGAAATAAGAGAGAAAGAGAAAGAGAAGGAAGGAAGGGCTGTTCATGCTGTTCTCACGCACCATCCTATGTCGTTATGTGGCTAATGGATTGGGTCCACTCTCTTCTTCCTTTTCTCTTTCTCTCTCTCTCAAATGATCTCATTTAATATGATTTTGTAATTTGAAAGAAATGAGCAAAATCATGTAAAATTGTTTGAGGGGAAGTAAAAAGAAAGAAGAAAAAGGAAATATGCTGAGAGGGTGTATATGTGTTACTGTATCTGCATGACACCCAATAAGAGAAGAAACATCACTTTGTTCACAATTTGGCATTTAAAAAGGAAGAGAAAGAAACAGTAGAGGACAAAAAGAAAAGCAGCAAAATATCCTTAGGTTAATTTTTTTTTTCTCCTCAACTTCCCTTGATTTTTGTTTGTCTTTCAGATATTTGCCTTTTTAGGATTTTCATCAACCAATTTTACTCAAAAAGCTTGAATCGCCCCCTTCTCAGCTTTTTCAGATAAGATTTCATAGGAACACCAAAAATTTTCAATGTGTGGTTGCTGTAAGATAATGGGTTTTTTTTTTTTGTAAGAAAACTGAGAGATATATAGAAGAATAACTATTTGAAGAAAACAAGAACAGCAAGAGGGGGGTTGTCTAAAGATGGATGCATCTTACCCCGCAGGACCTTTCTTTGGAATTAGAGAAGAAGATCAAAACCAGATGAAGCAACAGCATTCTTCAACACCAACTTCATCCACAGGCCCAGCTCCACCGCCGCCTCTGAAGAAAAAGAGAAACCAACCTGGAACACCAAGCAAGTATCCAATTTTCTCCACCAATTCAAGTAAAGAGAATTCATTTCAATTTTATTCCTAGTAGTTCTTTGCTTTCTTTCCTTATATATACATATATATGTAAAGAAAGAGAAGCACAAACACAAGAAGAAACCCTAAAATTTGAAAGTTTTTGAGTGGAAATTGAGAAGGGGTGAATTTTTTAAAATTCTCTGGTCATCATCCAAAAAATTTTCTCCTTATTGTAATTAATCAAATTTAGAATTTTATAATTAATTTCTTGTTTGTCATTTTTTTTTATTACAATAACAGATCCAGATGCTGAAGTGATAGCACTATCTCCCAAGGCCCTAATGGCAACAAACAGGTTCATTTGTGAGGTATGCAACAAAGGGTTTCAAAGGGAGCAAAACTTACAGCTCCACAGAAGAGGACACAACCTGCCTTGGAAGCTAAGACAGAAGACTACAAAAGAAGTGAAGAGGAAGGTTTATCTCTGTCCTGAGCCCACATGCGTCCACCATGACCCGTCCAGGGCACTTGGCGACCTTACTGGCATCAAAAAGCATTACTCAAGAAAACATGGTGAAAAGAAATGGAAGTGTGAGAAGTGTTCTAAGAGGTACGCTGTGCAATCTGATTGGAAAGCTCATTCAAAGACCTGTGGCACTCGAGAGTACAGATGTGACTGTGGCACTCTCTTCTCAAGGTAGTTAATAATACAAATACAAATACAAATACAATCTATAATCTACAATCCTTTCCTTCACATTTTCCCGTTAAACTTTCTTTTTTTTTTTTTTGCGTGTAGTTGAGGCCATCCCCATTAAACCTTAGCTTATGTGCCGTATTCCCACTGGCATGCAAGAAAGGGAAAAGGCGTTATAATTTCTGCTTGGCCTTGTTTGGTTAGCGATTAGATTCTTCAGGTGACAAGAGATGAAAAAGTTCGATGCTTTTTTTTATCTCTTTCCTTTCGGTTTTCTTGCAATTTTGTCTCTCTCTTTCTTCTCATTACCCCCTTTTTTATTTTCATTGTTTTCGTTGCTTTTTCAAGTTCTCAAGTGGTCAAGATGGTGAGTGCAGAAAACAAACATGCGTCCACGTGAATAATCTGTGGAAACTGCCATTGACAATAGAGGTTCTAGGCTTCTATCCTCAAACAATTTAAACCCCCCTCTATACAAAAGAACAAAGAGAGAAAGAAAACAGTTCATCTTTTGTTTCTCCTTGGAAACACCGCCCTTTTTCTTTTTTACTTTTCCCTATTCACGTGCCGCTATGCCATGTAGAGTTTGCTGTGTTGTTATTGTTGTTACCATGTTTGTTCTCTTGTGGGTTGGCCAGACGTGTTCCGGTCTGTGCTCTTGCAGGTATCTTTTTTATGATAACGTTCGCCTGTAAATTCTAATGCACTCCCTCCCTCCTTCTCTCAATCTCTCTCAGAGGTTCTAGTTTAGAAGCTGAGGTATTTCTGCGCAGGGACTTGCAGTCTCGACCGTGGGAGGCTAGCGCCTGCGCCTAAGAGAGTTGATTGATTTAGGAATTCATAAAGCAAGAATGAAAAAAGTGAAACCCTGATAGCTTTTTTAGGTTCTTGTTTTGGAAAACGATTCTTAACTGGAAATCAGATATATTTCATGAGTTTTGCTTTAATTGAAGACAGTCCCGAATTGGGGTTCTTGATCGTTCACTTTTCTATTGGTTCAATACATTCTCTTGTTGCTTGTATTGAGCACCTAGTTCTCGAAATGGCAGTTCATGGTTGATTTGATTAATCATTTTCCAGTTTTAGTGAAATTCTTTTGACCAACCCTCTTCAATTTTGCTTCTGTCTTCTAGGCAAATTAACTTAATTCCCAGCTAGTACTATCTTTTCACCCTACTTTTTTGTATTATCATTTGAGCATTATGAAACATGCTAATCTTTTTTCTTGCTGCTTAAGGGTTTCCACACTTTTACATTTTCTTAGCCTTTCCTGCTGTACTCTGAACCCTCAGTATGACTTAGAACACCTATTCAACAGTTTTGTTTGCCCCATGTTGAGTGGGTCGCTGCATGTAAGACTTCTTATTCTTTTCTTACATTTTTAGGCCAATGTGGTGCTGTAATCTTAGTTCCAGTAATAAGAGTTTACTCCTGGTAACCTGAAGTATCGAAAAAATCAATAATAAAAGACAACTAGAGTAAATTAAACAATATGGAGAAAATCAATTAAGCTAATGAAATTATTTAATTTCATTATATTACATTAATCAAAAGACATGTTTTCATTATCTCTAATGTTTTATGTTTCCACCGGACATCTTTTTGTGTCCTTTAGGTAGCTAGTCATAGCTAAGATTAATTGGTTGAATTTTCCTTTCCACGAACTAAGTTTCAAAATCCTATAATTTGATGTACTAAACATAGCAGACAGGAGTTTCTGTTCAAAATTTGTTTTTAACTGTCTTTTCAAACCGTTTCCTTTATTTTGTTTTTCCTACAATTTATCAGGGCTTGTCTAATGGATTCCTTCTGTTATGACTGTTGCAGGCGTGACAGTTTTATCACTCACAGGGCATTTTGTGATGCACTGGCTCAGGAAACTGCAAGGCACCCTCCTTCCTTGAACTCCATTGGCAACCATTTATATGGAAGTAGCAATATGAGCTTAGGCTTATCTCAAATGGGAACTCAAATTTCATCGATACAAGACCAGAATAACAAGACTGGTGACATTTTAAGACTTGGTGGTGGTGTCAGGAATACCCAGTTTGATCATCTTCTCCCTCCATCGATGGGATCGTCATCGTCGTTTCGACCTCAACAACCCATGGTTTCTTCATCTGCTTTCTTCATGCATGAGTCTAACCAAAATTTCAATCAAGAACATCAACCTCAACAAGGATTGTTGGGAAACAACAAATCGTTCCAAGGACTAATGCAGTACCCTGATATGCAAAACATCATCAACCCTCCTTTAGGAGCCAGTCTCTTCAACCTTAGCTTCCTTTCCAATAGCAGCAACACAAGCAGCATCAGTAACAGCAACAATGCCAAGACAGACAACAATTTAGCATCTTCAGGTCTGCTAATTCCTGATAATTTCAACAACGAAAACGGTGGTGCTGGAACAAGCGAAGCATCAAATCTCTTCTCAAACAACATAGTGGGCGATCAAATCACCTCCAACATCCCTTCTCTCTTTAGCTCATCAGTTCAAAACAATAACATGGTACCCCAAATGTCAGCTACCGCATTGCTTCAAAGAGCAGCTCAAATGGGCTCAAGTTCCGGTAACAACAACAGCGCCTCTCTTCTAAGAAGCTTTGGTAACTCTTCCTCAACCGGAACCAAACCCTCAAACTTTGGAGGCATTTTGGGAGATAGCACAGGGAACAACCTGCATGAACTAATGAACTCCATAGCAAGTGGTAATTCCTCCATTTTTGGAGGTGGGTCAGCAGGCGTCAATACATATAGCACTGGATATGTACAAGAAAACCCTTATACAAGTAGAAGTAGCATGGAACAAGAAAAGCAGCACCTGCAGCAAAAATTGAATGTTAGCATTGGTGAGTCAGATAGATTGACTAGAGACTTCCTTGGCGTTGGCCGAATAGTTAGAAGCATGAGCATAGGAGGGGTTTCACAAAGGGAGCAACAGGCACAGCAGCAGCAACAACAACAACAACAACAAGGAATCGGGTTAAGAGCCTCGGGTTCAGAGAGAAATAATGTTACCGCGCCGGCAGGCCACCAATCTTTTAAAGGAGGTGGGAATTTTCAATAAGAAAAAAAAAAAAAGCAATATGAAGAAAGTACAAAGGTACGTAAAATATTAGTAACCTGTTAAAATTATTATATATGGTTAAAGTTTTAGATTTGGATTTCATTGGTAAATGTGTGTCTTTAATATACTGCTTTTACTTTTTTTGGAGTTTGGATTGTTTTTTCTCCCTTTTTTTGCCTCAAATATTGTCTGGCATGGGACAGTCATGAGTTGTAGCACATATGGGTTTTGTTTCTTTTCCTGTCTGTTTTTATTTTATTTTATTATTATTTTTTTTTATGGGCTGGCAGAGTCACGAGTGCTGCTCTCAAGATATAGATGATCAAAACAATATCTACCCTTTCTTCTAAGTCTTAGCCAGGAATCATCCACTTCTTCAAATTGTTAATGATTTGAATTTCTCCAATCATTATTTTTTTATTCATTGGAATTACACCAACAGAATGAAAACTTTTGATTCATTTTGCTTTATTTTGGATACAATAATAGTTTTGTAAAGTGACCAATACTCAAGTTATTAAAACATTAAATTCTTAATTTACTAGAAAATTATGATAATTTAAAATACATATATATATATATATACACATATTGTAAAGTGAGTTCATGACAAATGATTATACACGAGAATATGAGCGGTAAATAGTAAATTTTGATGTGACATTTTTAGCTGTTTGGTACTATTAAGAAAGAAGTTCTTGTAAAATAAAATTATTATACTTTCTTTGTTAATGGAGTACCATTATAAAAATTAGAACGTACATAAACAAAGCCAAATTTATCTTCCTTCACCTTAATTCCGACAATAGGGTATTTCTTTGATGCGATAGGGTATATAGACAAAGCCAAAAGAATCTTTTTCTTATGACAGAAATGAAAAAGAGGAGCTCTACCATGCATGAAAATATATATATTTCTGCATACATTTTTGGCTTCCGATCTCTTTCATCTTTGTCTACATATCAGATAAGAATAAAAAGAAGAAGATTATGATGATAATGATGGTGATCATACATTAATTCATGAGTTTTCTTCTCTTGTATATTATATATATATATATATATATTTGATACAAACAAAGTTGTTTGCATGCTGGATTATTGTATGTTGAATTTTCCCTGGTATTAGGGCTGCTTGCTATGATCTTATTAATTATTAACGTTGGCTTTTTTCGCAGACAATGCTCAATGGCAAGGCCTTTTTGCTCTTATCTGGTACTTTTTTTTTCGATATGTCAAGTGAACAACTAGGAGAAGTGGGAGTCAAAGGGGTGGTTTCGAAACTGATCAAGTGATGATCATCAATCAGCAAAAGGCAGCTAAAACCCCTATAATCCAAGCTATATTTATGAACTTTCTTTCTTCCCTTCAACTGTTAATGGGAATGAATTTCCGGTCAATCCCACCTACAATCTTTATCATACTTTTGATGGTGACTTTAGCCAAGAAAATCTTTTCTTGTTTCTTTTTGGATTAGTTCTATTTTATGCAACGTTAGTTATATATATTTCTAGCCAGCCGCCATTGTAGAATAAAGGTCGAATGTCGTTTCTTATTCCTCCGGATATGATCTCAAACCAAGACAATTTTGTTCCGTCAGCCTTCGAGAATGACCGATCAAGTTGCTAGCCATTTGCTGCTAGACAAACTGGTCTTGAACAATATAATGTTGTCATCCTGTTTCATATTTAACAAAAATCATGGAGTAAAATTTTCTTACGCGAAACCCACAGTTTAATTTTTTTTTCAGTCATACGTAAAAAGTAATATCAAACAGAATTAAAATTTAAATTTTAGCATTTCCAAACGTTTTCTTATTCCCATGTTGCAGTCCTTATTCCCTTGTCTTTTAAATTGATTTTTTTTAATATTTGATGACATTAATCATTAATTTGATGAATGTTAGGATTTCCATCTTCTTTGTAAACTTTGTTTCCTTGTCTTTTAATTGAATCTTTTTTTTTCTAAAAAAAGGAATCTTTTAAAGATAATATTGTGTCTAGGGTAAATTTTTCTTCATACCTCTTAGATCACTTGACTTGATGATCTTATATATATATATGCTAAGTACTTGATGATCTTATATATTATATATATAAGATCTTATATATATATGTAAGACAAGACTTGATGATCTTCTATATTTATATTATATTATATATATATATATATATATATACATATTCCCAACCTTTTTAAAGAAATTATTAGATCACTTTTATAAGTGCTTTGATTTTCTTGATGATTTGAAATTGTCACCAAAGATATATGTAAAAGTTCCAAGACCATACAGAATCACACTCACGTGAAGAGCCATATGCAATTACCCCAGAGAAAAGCAATGCAACATTAATCAATAATCAATATATGGTATAGCAGTTTCCTAATAAATTACCCTGTGACGTGACCTGCATATGTGTAGGATGAACCAAATCTTCGATGAATTTGATTCCTCCACTATCAAGGGCCCTGGCTAGTACATTTTCTCCAGTACCCTGGCCCCTTGTAGTTGTAAATATTCCATGGCGAATGTAATTTTTTTTACATAAATAAAAGTTTCATCAAAGCTTTGATTAATTGAGTGAGTACCTCTCCATCGGGCCGATTGATATCTAATTGATCCTAACAGAGATGTTTAAAAAAAAAAGTGAAATTGAGTCACATGCAAACAAATGAAGGAAGACAAGATATACTGAAGAATGTTTCCTCAAAATGTCAACAACTACCACAAAATCCGGATTTCAAATATACCTCCAATCCTTCCCTATTTATAGTGTTCAAGTGGTGGGTTACAGAATGAAATTATGCCATTGTCCCCTTTTCCTTTCAAATGTCTCTCCCTCTATGTCTCAACTTGAGTTGTCTACTTGTTTTGCCTTTGTGTTAAAGATTTATATTGAATGCACTATCAGTATATAGATTTTATATATTATCAGTGAATCAAATAATATTAATTTATTAATCAATTTAAAAAAAATTAAATTTTTGTGTATTTATCTTAAGAACTAATAAAAATTTAAGTTTAATTATTAATAAAATAATATATTCTAATTTACTAATAGTATATAAAATTTATACATTAATAATATATTAAATATAAATTCATATTAAATGCCCTCTCAGTAATTAATTACCTTTAACATTTTCTTTGATGTAACACTATAAAGTTTGCTGCCTTTGGATTATTTGCATGTATGGCATCTTTGAGGCTCTTGACTATCATCTTTTGTATAAAATGATTTTGGCTTAACCCAAAATAAAAAAAAAATAATAATATAAAGTTTGAAATAACTAAGTTTGCAATATTTTCATATAGCTGCTATATAATTTGACTGATTATATTGTTTTTGGCATTATGAAATTACCCAATGGTGAATTTTGGGTTTAGTTAAGTTGGTTCATATAACTACTCTCAAAAGTGTTATCTAATAGATTTATGGTTCAAATCATAATACTTATAATCTCTTTTCTTATCTTAGAGATACCAATTTTATTTATACTCAATTGAGAATTCGAATTTTTACTTGAATAGGGATGAGGATGGGGATATCTATGATTTTAAATTTTTTTATCGGGTATGAAAACGGGAAATGGATAATATAGCAACCATCCCGTACTCAATGTTTACACCCTACATATATATATAGTTAATAATTAATTAATTAGGACTAATATGTTTCCATTTTAAAATATATATTAATATATATTTATTAAAAAATATATAAATGTGCAAGATAAAAATAAAAAAGTTAAAAAAATAAATCTAAAATTTTATTTTCTTTTTAAAAAGCTACAAGTATAAAATTATTCGTACCCTTTAAATACATGTGAGATGGAGATAATAGATTTAAAAGACCTGTTGGATATAAATACAAATATAGGTATAATATAAAAAATTAAAAAATGAGAATGAAAAATGTTTTATCTGTCTTATACTCTACTCATTAACATCCCTATCTTATCCTTAGTTGGCAAACTCATTTGTGAAAGAAAAAAAAAAAAACACCCAATGGTCACATACGTCCAAAAATTTTTTTTAAAAAAAATCAAGGACCAAGCTACTACTTTTACTTTGTTGATCACAACCTTTTGGTGTCCCTAAGATTTAAGTAAGGCATTAAGTGGTATTTTTGTTTTTGAGACTGAGTATGTAGTAGAGGAAGATCAGATATGAGAGTTGACTAGCTAGAATCCCATGTCCACATGCAATTTCATGATAAGCTCACTCATTTCTATACTCCAATTATTATGAAATTCTTTATATACTCCAATGGTCTAAGCTCTCTCATTTGATGATAAGTTTAGATTAATTTCAATCGAGTCCAAGGTATCATGACAACTAGCCTAGTTTTTAAATTATTAGGGTCAATACTAATAAGTATTAGGTTGAGTGAAAACCCATTCGATTAGAAAACAAGAATACGAATTAAGTCGCTATTCTTGTGGTGGTTTCAGTTTGGAGTCTGATTCTATACTAGTTTGCTAGCTCCACTTCACATTTTTCTAAGAGATTTTCACTATTTTAGCTATATAAAAAATTTTAATGATTGGATTTTGAAAAATACAACTTTAGATCTATGAACTCGTGTAGTTGTGTTTATTTATTTTATGTCAAATATGTATAAAATATAAAAATTATTATATCATAATTCGTATTAACACATTAAACATTAAATATAATTTTCTTATTTTTATTAAATTTTTATATAAATTTTATTAAAATTTTAGATCGTATTTTTATATATTTTTATATGATATAATCATATTATGTTTAAAATCGTTAAATCTATACAATCTTTTGAATTTACGATTCACTTAAACATACCAAACCCATTATGTTTTAGATCTTATCTGCTATAAATGTTCCTTTGCCTTTGTTCATAGATATATAGAAGAAGAAAAGTTGAAAAAAAAAAAAGAAAGGTTAAAGACTGTTCATATATTTTCTATTTCGGACGAATAAACTGTCAAACACCTTGGCGGTCACGGACTAATTGATTCCATAAAGTGAAAAGAAGACAACTATTGCGACAAAAGTGGCACATGAGTTTCCCAATAATTACCATAACGAACAAATTCTGGATGCTTTACCTCTTGCTGCCGCTGCTGCCAGCCTGAATCACATAATATTTCTGACCAACACTCTCACTCATGACTCACCCGATACAGATGAGGACACTAGCCCCCAAACAAACTCAAAATATATATATATATATATATTTCCGGTATAAGCTACCCTTAAATAGAATAGATGTATTTTAGCATATTGAAAAGTGATACGAATAAAAAATTTTTAAAAATAAAAATTGATTTGAAATTATAGTGTTTGGTTTGGATCAATTTTCTTATTCAATTTAAATGAAATTTAGATATTAAATACATATGTTACATGCAAATTGAAAAGTGAAAAATTAAAAAAAAAATGAAATCAAACTGAATTATATATTTTTATTAGCTTTTATATATATTCTAAATTTTTATAAAATAAAATAATTATTTTATATCTATAACTATTTAAATATATTAAAATTTCATATTAAAAATAATATATAAAAATAAAAAATAAAATTTAAAAATCGATGAATCAAATCGAATCAACTGATAAAATTTAGTTTAAATCAGATCATATGAAAAATCAATTTGAATTTAAATCAAATTTTAAAAATTTATAATATTATATATTATCGAAAATAATTGGACTAAATTTGATCAATCTAATCCAAATCATTATCATTTTTAGTGAGATACCTATCAATTAAAATTTAAAAATTTTAATTTAAAAGATTTGGATTTCAATTTTCATTGTAATGTAATTTTTTTATTATCAAATTGAGATCTTCTATTAATAAAATATTAAATTTTAATTTTAATAATTTTAATATACAAAATTATATTATAAGATTATTTCTCATTTCGTAATTCAAAATTATACGTATAAAAAAGAAATATCATGAACTTTTTCAAGCTTTGCATGTTATCAAACACGATTACATGCCATGAATCGAGTCAACATAAGGAGGAATAAATTTTTAGTTGAAGTACATAAAAAGAAGAATGGAGAGTGTCCATAGAATGTCAACAACAGACCCGAAGATCAGCAATTAAGTATTTATTTATTTTTGTCTTTATTTATTAATTCCCAATAATTGTGTTAGGGTTAGGTATTCGTTGGCCAAACAAATTCTCTTTCGAAATTATAAAAATATTAAAGAGAATCATCCGTCTAATGTTTGAATAATTAATAAAACTAATTGAAGGAATAAAAGAAATGATAAAATAAAAAAAAGAAGAAAATAAAATAACGTTTCACTTGTCGAGTCTGTTGATATGTAGTCAGCTTGTTAAGATTCTTGAAGTCATCACTCTGATTATGATGCCTATATTATTCTGACAATATCAACTCTTCTCAGGGCTTACCTCACTCTCTTCGCTTATTTTCGAATATATATTTACATTTTTTTTTCATACTTTTATTCTTAGAAAAAAAATTAATGCCATTAAACAAAAATAAAAGAAAGTAATGAAACCAAAGTTACATGTATATCAGTAAATTTGTTATATTTTAATGGTCAGGTTTAAAAAAAATTTGATTACACGTCAACAAAATTTAGATATAATAATCTAACTAATTATGTCATCATTTATAAATATAAAATATAAGATCAAATTAAATATGTATAATTTTCTTTTCACACTCTCTCTTTTTTTTTCGTATATTTGTTGATTTAGCATAAAAATACAAAAAAATTTTTTATGACAGATCATATATGTTCTCTGTCTCAGCTGCAATCGAATCTTGTAATCATCTCACTAGAAATTACACCTACAAAAATAAAGGAAATAACTGAAATATTGTATCAATATCTTTTTACTAGAAATTTTTACTAGAAAAAAGATATGTAGCTATCAATCAAACATATAATTTTAGTAAAAAACCATTTTTTTATGGAAAAGGTTAAAATTTATAATTTCCAACATAAAAAAAAGTACATACGGTAAAGGTAATACTGAACTAGAAATGAAGCCCTAATTCATGTGCCGTCAAATTCAGAAAATCAAAAGAAGAGTTTTTCCCTACATATTAACCCTATAAAGCTAGATTGCCAAGACACCTATCTCGACATCTGGTATGTTTTTTTAGACAAGTTTTGCACTTCCAAATTGTTGACTTGCTGCTTGAGCTGATGACTTTATGTTGGGGTTCGAAGAGCTAATGTTGATCCCATGTCGTTCACTCAGCGAAAACCCTCCACCAATGTTTCTGACCATTCCTCCAACACCTAGAAAATCCAAGGTTAATTTATCAGTCCCGCCTATGCTCGCCGCAAGATTTTGATGCAACTTAGCCACGTTAACGTTGCAAAAGTTGGCATTATTGCTCTGCTGTTCAAGTGTTATCCCTGTTCCACTAAACCCTCCGAAGTTGCTATCTTGTCCGTTGCCGGCGCCCCCGAAAATGGAAGAGTTTCCATTTGCAAGAGAGTTCATTAGTCCTTGAATATTGCTATCATTCTCCATCTCTGATCTTAGCGTTTCACCTCCACCACCACCGCCAAAATTACTGCCGAAGTTAGCTGATAAAACAGGCCTATGGGTTTTATTCCCACTTGATGACGAACTCCCCAATCCCCTTAGTAAAGACGAAGTATTGTTGTTTGTAGTTGAACCCATTTGAGCAGCTTTCTGAAGCAATGCAGTGGCTGACATATGTGGAGAAATGTTCTGAAGTTGCATTGAAGTGCTATAAAGAGAGGAGAGTCCCGAACCAACCTGATCAGCCATGTTAGAAGTGAACATTTCTGTCCTTTGATCACCAACACTACCCCCACCACCATTACCACTGTTAAACTGATTACTGCTTAAAAATCCAGAATTTTGTAAGTTGGAGGATGCACTGGCATTTTCACTGGTACTTATGCTGCTTGCAGCACTGTTATTGGAAAAGAAGCCTAAATTGAAAGGATTGGTGGATGTGGGGGGATTGTTAGTATTGCCTTGAAGGTCAGGAAGTTGCATAAGCCCATGTAATGGTTTGTTTAGATATGGTCCGTGGCCATGGTGAGGTTGATGGTCTTGATTAAAACCTTGGTTTGCGGCATCAGGCATGAAGAATGCGGATGTTGGCATGTTTTGTAATGAAGAAGGATTTGATGGAGGGATGAGGTGCTCAAACTTTGCTGCTCCATTGCTTCCCAACCGTAACATATTACTCGAAGGTTGATTCTGGTCTTGCAATGAGGGATTTTGGGATAGTCCTAAACTCATATGATTACTTCCAAATAGATGATAACTACCTATTGTGCTTAAGTTGGTGGGGTGTCTAGCACTCTCTTGAGTCAGTGCATCGCAAAAGGCCCGGTGAGTGATAAAACTATCACGTCTGCAGCAAAGATATGATGAAAGGAAAATTGTTAGTCAACTTTGATTAACAAGGCCCAAAGTCAAAGGCGATGAAGATCTAGCCATTTTTGTCAAGAAATAAAAGTAGTATGGAAACTAAATTTGAACGTTATTTGCTTAGCGTATTAATACTGCTTGTAGTCTACTATACGCTTGATGCATGGGGAAGGGGGACCATTAAATTGAAGATCACGCGTGACCTTTAGCACAAATTTCCAACTTTCTTTTTTCTTTTTTGTTTTTTCAATTGAAAAAAGGGTTTGCAGAAACAAGAAATCTCAAGAAAAATAAATAATTCGTTGATAGAAAACTTCATTTCATTGAAGCAATGGTACTTGCTGAACAAGTAAAATAAAATGAAGGGAAGATTTTATGAAGAAAGGAGAAGAGAGTAGAGGTGGAAACAAGTAATTTCAGTTTCCTAAGAAAAGTAAAAGAGGGGAAAGAAATGATAAATCAATTCAAAGTTCAATTACCATTTTGAGGAGAAGATGTTTAATAAATGAAGTGGGGAATCATTTCCCGGTTGATGAAAATCCAGAAATCCCAGAGAAGCCTATTAATTTCTGGGACTGTCTACAATAAACGGGAAAAAAAAAAATCCCTGAACATTAATCTATCATTCATGTAAGGAATATTTGTCCGTAACCAAGAAAAGCTACAATGTTTCACCAATGAGACTTTCAAAATGACTGGTGACAACACACTTTCTTGATCTCCAGATATATAATTGCTGCACTAATGAATCAAGAATTGTCCTCGAACAGCTCAGCAATGGGGAGAGAGAGAGAGAGAGAGATAAGAGCCCCACAGGCCACAACCCTAACGTTGTTTTATGATAGAAAAGAGTTAGCAGCAAAGGGCAAACGGAGAAGAAAACAAAGGCGGAAACTGACATGAGAACAAAGCCGGTAACAATATCTTTCCTGACAACGAATAAATTTACAACACGTGAATAGGGAAAAGATGAAAGGCGGTGTTATCGAGGGATAAAGAAGGATAAGAATTTGTTTTGCATTTTTATTTCGATTTTTCTCTCTCTATCATTCAGTGTTTGGAGTAGTAATTTTTACTTTGTTTTTTGGTTGCCTTGAATCCTCATCAGCCATGGCCGTTTCGCAGATTATTATTCACGTGCAACCAGTGGTTTAAGAGTTTAAAAGAGAAGAAGGAGAAGAAGAAAAAGGTAATCCAAAAAGGTTAAACAAAAGAACAGGCTTTTTCTCTTCCCAAGTCTCAGTACCCGAATCTTTCCCAAACACCCTTTTTTTTTTCCTCATGATACCTTGGTTTGTCAACTTTTATTACGTTAAAAAAAAGGTAAAAAAAATTCTATGTTAATGATTAATTACCTTGAGAAAAGAGTGCCACAGTCACATCTGTACTCTCGAGTGCCACAGGTCTTTGAATGAGCTTTCCAATCAGATTGCACCGCATACCTCTTAGAACACTTCTCACACTTCCATTTCTTTTCACCATGTTTTCTTGAGTAATGCTTTTTGATGCCAGTAAGGTCACCAAGTGCCCTAGACGGGTCATGGTGGACGCATGTGGGCTCGGGGCAGAGATAAACCTTCCTTTTCACTTCTTTTGTAGTCTTCTGTTTTAGCTTCCAAGGCAGGTTGTGTCCTCTTCTATGGAGCTGTAAGTTTTGCTCCCTTTGGAACCCTTTGTTGCATACCTCACAAATGAACCTGTTTGTTGCCATTAGAGTCTTGGGAGATAGTGCTATCACTTCCGCATCTGGATCTGCTTTGAGAAATGCCAAACAACAATTATTGAAAAAAATGAGGGAGAGGTAAAACAAAAGATGCCCAAGACTCAATTTGTGGAGAGAAAGAAGAATCGTTTCAAAACTTAAAAAAAAAAAAAAAAAAAAAAACAACGTCCAGAATAATTTAGCACCAAAAATTACGAATTTTCAGTTTAGGGTTCATTGGTAATCTTTGTTTTATGAATAAAAAAAAGAATGAACAAGAACAAAAACCTCTTTCCTTATTGACTTTATTCATAGGATGCATGTGCTAAAAGCCTTTAAAAAAAAGGGTAGATGCATGTAAAGAGATACTTGCTTGGTGTTCCAGGCTGATTTCTCTTTTTCTTCTGAGTTGCAGTGGTTGGAGCAGTTGAAGAAGTGGGTGTGGTGGTGGATGATTGTTGTTGTACCATTTGGTTTTGGATTTCTTCCCTGGTTCCAAAGAATGGTGTGGACGATGAGGCGGCGGCCATCTTCAAAGATTATACAGCTGTTAATTGTTGCTTGCTTGTTGTCTCCTCTTGTTTCTTGGGGCTAGGCTAGCTGCTTCTTCTACAACACCACCAAACCTAGAATTCAGAAATCACCCAAATTACCATAATCGGCACAAAATTACAGCTTTTCTTCCGATTCTTTACCGAAAGAAAACCAAAATAAAGGGTTGCTGCCATAGGGAAGGGATGTTTTAGTTCCCCTCCGAAAATCTTTGCAGATACAATCCACTAAGAAACAAGAGAAAGAAAAAAAACCTAGAGATATAAATCCACAAAATACCAAGAGGAAAGTATATTAGACGACAACTACAATTCGGAGGTGAAGAGCAAGAAAACAATCAAAACTCCTCTCCTCTTTCTCAGCAAATTGTTGTTTTTTGATTTATAAAAATAAGGCTTACCCTTGAACTTAGTCATCATTTCATGTCATATATGCATAAACAAATACATACACGTCTATCCCACACGCATACCCATCTCTCTCTCTCTTTGGTGTATACCGTATAGCATTTCAGTATTGCTCAATAGTTTCTGTTGTAGTAGAAGAATACAAATTTGCCTTTTTTTTTTTTAATTTTAGAGATTATTGTTAAAAAAAAATGAGGAAATCGGAAGGGATGTTGGTGTCACTGTTCAGGCAGCGAAAATGTGTGTCGTTATGCGGGCGATGCTTTGGGGGCCACCAACCTGTAGGCCTTACCATCTGCCTGTCTCTCCTTCTCTTATTTCGTATCTTCTAACCAAGCATCAAGACAAGCCTCCCTGTCGTCATTCCATCGCTACTCTTACGTTGCTCTTTCAACATCGTTTATATATATATATATATTTTTTTTTTTTTTTTCTGTCACCTTCCGTAAATTTTCAATACAATTTTTGGACGGTGACATGCATATATCGTAGACGGAACTGATCTAGAATTTTTTATTAACGGGGATAAATATTTTAAATTAATTTAAATTTTTTATTAAAATATAAATTAATATTAAAAAATTATAAATAAAATCAAGATATATAACATATTTTTCGTACATAAAAATAATGTTTATATAGTTAAAATTAATTGCACGATTCTTAACAAATATAGTCTAAACATTATTTAAATAAATCAACTTTCAATATAAAAACCATCTTTTCCTCTTCTGTCATTTGGCTTGGAATATCTAGTGCAAGTGTTGCAAGGAGTGGGGCATCTCATGGGCTATTCCTGGTTCGTTCAATAGTCTTTTTGATTTGTAGACTTACCTCTCTGTTAAAAAACAATATTAGATTATTTGGGATACATTGTTCTATACTGTTGTTTGGTCAATCTAGTTAACTCGAAACGAAAAAGTCTTCAAGCAGAAAATCAATTCATTTGACAACATCTTCAGTCTGATTTGTACTAGACTGGCTTGGTGGATGAGTGCTAAATTTCCAGATTTAAATTTCCTGCCATCAAGTTGTGTATTTAGCTTCCAAAGTATATCCATTCCCTTCCATAAAAAAGAATGCAGGAAGAACATCGAATGGTCTCCACCCCCTGAAGGAGTTTGAAAAATCAATGTAGACAGATCAACTATAGGCAAGCCTGGTCTTGCAGGAATAGGAGGTGTGTTATCCGCGATTGGAAGGGGAAAGTATTGCTAAGTTTTCCACAAATGTTGGAGTCAAGGAATCGAACCTAGCAGAGTTTTTGGCGATAGTTGAAGCCCTTACTATTGTGGCTAATGCCAATCTGGATCCCTTGCTTGATATCATTATCGAAAGCAACTCCAAAATTGTTATAGCCTGGCTCAACAAAGTAAGTGAATGCCCTTGGAAGTATAATGATTTATTGAATAGGTTGTACAATCTCTTCGTTAGGGTTAAGAACATCACTTTGGTATATGTTTTTAGAGAAGTTAATTATTTTACGGACTCTCTTGCTAAAATGGGAATACATAAATCTTGTAATTTTGTAGCTTGACTGTAATAACCTTTTTTATTTGAATAATATCTTTATTTCAATTTATAAAAAAAAATATATAATATGTAAAAAATATATATAAAAATTAACATATCTAATTTTATTATTTACTTTTAATACGTCTAATTTTATCATTTATTTCAAATAAACAAATATATTTTATTTCGCATTTATTATTATTTAAAGAATAAAAATGTCTCTTTTCTACATACAATGAAAAAAAATGAAGATATAAATCTAAATAAATTTTTTTATTTACTTCACATTTTTTATATTACTTTTTTTATGTTAAAGAAGTGCTTAAAAACATTTAAGTAGTACAAGTTTAGGTTTCATTATCCTTATAAGATCACCTCATATCAATCTAAATAAATTATTAGGAGAAATTTAAAATTTAATTATTCCAAACTTTTTAAAAGTAATTTACTTTTATTTTACAAACTTATATATAAATATATATTAGAACGAAATCGTTTAGCACCCAAATGATCAATGCTCAATTACTAGATAAACAATAAAATATTTTCTTGTACGAGCCTTAATTTAGTGAGGGTAAATTTGATAAAACTATTTTTAGAGGAGACAATATTTTAAATTTTCAAAACTTTTGAGGTTTTTTTTTTTTTAATAAACCTAAAAAAAATTTAGGAATTCAATAAGCTACATCACTTTTATATCTTATTATTGTATTGTATTCATATTATATCACTATATTGTATGTAGATACCATTTTATTATTATTATTTATTTATTTATTTTATTTTATTTTCTCTTTTCCTTTTCTGGCAACGGCTCTAACAGCCACCTGCAACTGTGCTATTAGCAACCTTGACAGCCACCGACAGTTGTTTTGACAATCGATGGCCTCCTTAATCCTAGGCCACCAAAATCTCAAAATTTTTAAGATTTTGATCTTTCTTTTGTTCTATAAATAAAGCAAAGAAGCCAGTAAAAAAGGGGGAAGAAGGAGGAAAGCCTGCAAAAAAAAGTTTTCAGAATAAAAAAAATTCTTTATACCAAAAAAAAATCAAAACGAAAAACACACAGTCCTCCCGTAGGGAGGAACCATCAACACCAAGCCCCTACAACAAAAAATCAAAAAGTCAGTTTTGGTTTATAAAAAAAAAAAAGAGAGAGAAGGGATACGAAATTTTAAGCCTCGATCTATGTCAATTGGGCTGTTTCTGACGAAAAGAACATCGGATCTGAAAAGAGGGCATTGAGGAGAGCCTTTTGGAGCATTTTGGCATTTTTCGACCACCGACAGCGACCGTCTACGGTGACCCTGATAGCGACTGGCGCGGCGATCCGAAAGTCGAACGATGCAGAGCTCCGAGGCTTTTCCTGGGGCTCTAATTTTTTTTTCTAAAGGGGGTTTGAAATGAACTGAAAAAAAAATTTTGGTTTTATATAACAAGTCAAAGCCCAAAACGACGTTGTCTTGGGATCCCAGGATCCGCGCGTTGACTAGTGACCCTACTCCTGGTCCACGCTAACCTACCCATTGACCCGTTCCTTCAACAACCTCTGACCAATTCAATTGAATCAGATTAGATCAAACTAAACCATTGACTGAATCATCAAACCATTGATTAGATCACAAAACTGCTTGAACAGCTGAACCGACGTTGACTGGACAGTTGATCGGTCTGGTTCAAGTAAAAAAAAATTTTTTAACAAATTTTTTTAGATTTTTTTATATGTTATTTTTATTTTAAATTTTTATTATTAATATTTATGCATGTTTAACTGTTTAAATTTGCTAGAATATTTTTTTTGTTTTATAATAATAATTAATAAAAATAAATAATGAAATATATAGTAAAAATTTGTGATAATTTTGTTATTTTTTAAAATAAATCTTATAAAATAATAAAAAAATAAGAAAAAAAAATTTTATCTGACGATAAGATTCAAAGATATTCCAAGTAGTGATACTTACGAAATCTCTAGGTGAAAAGATTTTTTAAATGCTATCAGTGTATTAAAATATTTATAAAAAGTTTTCAATGCAATAAAATTTTCTTTTTATTAATAAAGAAATAAAAATCAACTAATAAATTAAGAATAAGCAATGAAAAAGTGAGAAAAAAAAGAAATTTTATCCGATGATGAGTTTTTAAAAGTATTCTGAGTAGAGATGCTTTAAGAAATCCTTAGGTGAGAAGATATTTTTTAAATATTACTAGTGTATTGAAATATTTATAGAAAATCTTCAATATAATAAGAATTCCTCTTTTCTTCAAAATTTTAATTGAAAATATTGATAAAAAATTAATAAAATTTTTAAATAAAAAAATAAAATGTGTGCATTAACGTATTATCATTTACATTGCATGCATGACATAATTTTTTGTAAAAAATAAACTTGAGCCTCCGAGAATGAGATTCTAAAGTATTCCGAGAAACGATGCCTAAGAAATCTCTAGGTAAAAAAAGGTTTTTCTAATATTACTAATGTACTGAAACATTTTAAGAATTATTTTAATAAAAAAGTTCTAATTTATTTTTCTCGAATAAAATTTGAGCACTAAATAAATAAATAAAAAATAACTACTAAATGAAAAAATTAAAAAATTATTTTTCAAACACCGAAAATGAAATTGTTTTTTTTTATGAAAATGAAATTATTTTTTTGTCAAAATCAAAGGATAACACGTAGTTAAGTGGTACCGTTTTTAAATGAGTGTTGTGGGGGTGCTAATCTCTCTCCATACGTAATCGACTCCTGAACTCAGATTGTTTCATAGATCATAAAAATATCTTTTTAATAGATTTTAATTAATTTTAAGATTTTATTAAAAAGATATGTTTTAATAGGTTACCAATCGCACATAGCTAAAAAAATTGATGGTGACTTTTTTTCTTTTTAAATTCATCAGACGGACATAAAACCGTTACAACATTATGTTTTAAATTGTAAAGTTTAATATTTCATACATGTTGAAGAAAGTGAACTATAACACTTTCCTAATGTTTCATTTTTTTTTTTAACAAGTTCTAAAATTTTTAATTTTTTTATAGTAAACTTTTTTTAAATTTATCTACCAGTCAGCATGCCAACAAAATTTATTATATGCATGTCTATCTAAATATCATGTGGCATATTTTATTTTCATTTTTAGTGTATGTTAACGAATGAATGTATTTGGAGAAAAGAACATTTAATTCTTATAATATAATTTAACAATAACTTAAAATTCATGAAAATGACTCATGTTTGTCTGGCTCACAAATCTAATTCACTGACTGTCTGGCTCCTTGATGTAGTGATGTCAAAGCCATTTTGTTGATTTTTTTATATAGAACAAATAGGGCAAACAAAAAAAAAAATGCAGAACATCCTCACCTCAAGTCAGATGTAATGGCTACAAATTTAAATCTGCATAATCATTCCCTTTGTAAAAACCTCAAAGTGACGAAAGAGCAATTCCATCAATTCGATTTTCG